AATGGTAAGTAAAACTTACTCAATACATTAGTGAAAACCGTACCTAAATCAGTTAAGCCGTTTCTGAGATTTGTACGCACAAACGCACAGACAAACATTCTAAAAACCATCGTTTTGGGTCCTATTACGTAAATAAAGACCGCCAATAATAGACTTTCTCAAATATATTCTATGTACAGACAGCGATGTTATAGTTTAATGTATAATAAGTGTAATTACGAGTATACTAATTGCTTTGCGGAATTCCATAAAAAATGTGACAACTCAAATGTAGAGTATGAAGTAAATCTTAAAACTAATATCGACGTAAAAAAGTATAATAGAAGTTCATTAACCTCCTATCACAAGTTAAATACAAGACCGTGTACGCTTATGTTATTATATCAGGTGAGTTAGTTTGTTATAACAATATTATATTTCGTATATTTAGGTTCGGTATTTTTTCCTGATTAATTTGTTCTTTACAAATATAAGCATGACTTGCAATTTGCCTTGGGAAATTGTAAATAAATTTATAATGAACTTCAACTTTTAAGCCTTTTTTAAATTATTCTCGCTCCTCGTAAATATAATTATAAATAAAAAATTTGAAAAACCCCCTACGCAAATTAATTGTCATTTGACGATTACACTGGCACGCGTGAAGTATTAATCGAGTAATCATACGCCAAAATGCCTTACATCATTTTGGTAAAGAGCTGTCTGTTACTTTTACACTGCTGGACCGATATTAACTAAACATAGCTAAGCACCACCACAAGGAAATTGGCTTTCAAATGAAAAAAACCGCATCGAAATCGGTCAATCCGTTTGAGAGCTACGATGCCACAGACACACACACACACACACACACACACACACACACACACACACACACACACACACACACACACACACACACACACACACACACACACACACACACACACACACACACACACACACATAGACATCGACGTCAAACATTGCTCTTTTTGTGTCGGGGGTTAAAAATTATTCTAAAAAGCTTCCTCAGTGTAGAACTACATATTATTACCTATGAAGGGAAAAAGTTTGTGAATTTTTATGTGGGAGGTAATCTCCGGAACTTGATCTGATTTTAAAATCATTTTTATTAATAAGTTAATTTATTCCCCAGGAAATTTGATTTCCGTGTGGAATATTATTATATCGTTTAATTTCATCTAAGGACGCGTAGGGCGTAATTAGGGTCTGAGTGAAAATAAATTTCATAAGCCTTGGTAATTTTCTTCGGTTTTATACTATCCTATTTATTAAGGGTTGTTTAAGGGTTGAAATCAAATTTTTTAATCTAATGTGACTTAGAACAAAGAAACTAAATAAATTTATATAACAACTAGCAGAACCCGCGGCTTCGCTCGAGCTAAAACTACAAAAATCTCAAAAAACGTAGTTTCCTGCAAACTTTCATCCTCTATTTTACCCCTTATAGGATGAATTTCGAAAAATTCGTTTAATTTTCTTGTAGAGCATTAAACTACCAAGTTTTAAGTAATTCTGATTATAAATATTTTTTTGGATTGTATTATAACGTGTTTCCCCGTGGGAATGAGATAATCTCCCGCGGTAAAAAGTAAAAAGTCCGTTTCGATGTGAAAGAAGAGCAAACAAACAAACACACTTTCATATTTATAATATTAGTATACATATATAGGATATGTATGTCAGTGACATAGTGTAGTATGTTATATATAAATAAAATATAATTAAAAAAGATTAGAGACTTATTTAAGCTTCACATGTGTATATGAAATACAATATAAAATATTATAACTAGGCTGTTTTCTCTGTAGTTTTTGAAGAATAACATAAGATAGGTGTGTATTTAAAATTATTTATTATCTATTCTAATATTATAAAGAAGAAAAACTTGCTTTTTTTTGGTTGTTTGTTTGTATCGAATATTCTCCGAAACACCTGAACCGATTTAGATGACATTTCGTAAAAAGATAGTTTGAGATTCTGGGAAGGACATGGTTTTTATTCCGGAAATCATCCCTTAAGGCCTAAGGGAGTGAAAATGGGGTTGAATGTTTGTATGGGGAAGCAATCTAGGGATGAACCCGAGCGAAGTGAAGGTGAGTCTCTAGTGTTTTATATACTCGTAATATATCCAAACTATTTAACGTATGCGATATTAATTTTGTAACTAAATTTCACGGGTTTTATTAATAACGTACAAGATATCAGAAGCCAAAATGTTTAAAACATACAACACACTTAAATATCCAGACGAAAGCTAGTAGGTACGTGTATATTGTATGTACATATAATAAGACATTGTCATAACTTTCGACTGTCTCTTACTGTAAATAGATTAGATGGTATCATATTAGGCGACAGACTTTTATGTTCATTAACCCCTTGTGCTATTTAACAAGGATAAAAATAGATTATATTTTGTCTGGAAGTTTTAAAATAACAAGAGAGTTTCTCAAAACTTGTTCATTTTTGGGTTCTCTATTATACATATAGAGCACCAAAAAATATTATTTTTTAGCCTTATTCGATATATAATAATTTAGATGTATATTTATTATTTTGTAAATGTTAAGATAGTTTATTATGAGTTTTGTGAAATCTCAAAAAAGCTTGTTTACTTTAGTTTTTTAAATTAGGAATAAGCAAAACCGTAGCAATAAAATTGTGACGCAATATATTACAACATTTACGTTTAAACTACATATAGGTAATGTTACCATAGGTAACTGATAACAAATATTCATACAAATATGTATAATAATTTAAAAATATACACCACCTGTTTGTTCGTCTGTATGAATCTGCATAAACAAGTGATAGTTAAAAAATATTAAAATGCATTATATATTTAAGATTCTAAATATTTCCATGATACTTAATTCATAATAAAAACTCTATAAAACCTGATTTTTCTTAAGTCATTCATACGAAATTAGCAAACTCTGTGACATAAGATTTCATTCATATTGTATGATTATTTTTGCTTTCAAGACACCTAAAGGTTATCCTTGACTATCATGCCCATGATTAGGATTAAAAATTGCGATGGCCGTATAGATCTCACCGAAACCAGTTTGAAATTACACGAGAAGATTCACCTACAACTGTTATGATCAAAACATACCGTGTTATTTACGATTAGAGAGAGGCCGCGTACGGCTGTGTGGGTTCGCGTGGCGTCGTGTCGGTGTGCCCTAGTAAACATAACATTGTAAATTTGTGTTGCAAAACGTTTCGTCTAGAACTAAATCAGTATTTAGACTAACAGGACTAAAAGAATCTTTGCGGGAGTTTCGTTTCTATTTCGAATCGACCCTCGCGAAGTATATTTTTAATCGCGTTTTTTCACGTCACTAATCACTTCATTCATTGCTAAGGTATGTCCAACACACTAGAAGACGGATGTGATTTTTTCGTTTTATTGTATTGTTATTTATTTAGCTATCTTATATGACAGTAGCGTGTTTCTTATATTGACGTCATATTTGTTATTGTAGATGATAAATAGTTTTTATCACGCTTAAAGATAAGTTTAAAGCCTTTTCTCGCCCTATTCATTATTCTAAGTATTAGAATAGTACATTTCATTGAAAATATAAGGAACGTCACAATCATAACTGAAACTATTACACTGGACAGCTATTATTAAATTCCTTTACCGTATAATTACAGACTATATTGGTATAGTCTCTACAGTTAGAGAAACTTATTATTATATTTCATTGTATCCTTCAAAATATTTCATTGAAACAATATAATAAGTTGTACCATTTAAATACACATTTTAATACATAAAGTTATTCTCTATGACAGATGGATTTTTCTTTAGTTCAATTCACTTATCCAATTTTTTTTTTGATAATGATTCCTTCAATATAATGTTAACAAAAAAGACAAGCTATGTGAGTAATGCGTATTACGTGTACAGTTTATTATGATTAGATGTCAATTAGTGTCCGATAATGTTCCAAATCACCGTAAAGTACCTCATCGGTAAACAACATACCTATTACAGGTGAAAATATTTTCGTGTTTCGAATTAAAAGAAAAATAACAAAAAGATCTGAAATATCACAAATTTAGTAAAAAACCTATTTTACTGGACTGTAGTTTTTACTAATTACTATAAATGTTTTTAGAGTAATGAATATAAATGTCTATAACTATAAGCTATAAAAATGCTATATAATATATAGATAGGAGAAAGAAAAATAGTAAATACCAACGATATTTTCTCTGTGTTGCATCCCTAAAAGATATATGTACCTAAATAAATAAATCAGGTATGTATGTAAAAAACTAAGTAATTTTTAAGACAAGTTTAATTTATACGATATATTTATAAAAATCATATGTTTGCTATCGAAGTATTTATTTGTGAAGGTTAAATTAAAAATCACATTAAAAAACAAGAGTAATGATGCTTGTAATGCTAATTAGGTAAACAATTCATTGCTATTAGATGTTAAATGCCCGCTAATATTGCAAACAAAATTTGTTTACAGATAAACATTCCTGTGCTCTTTGAAATTTATCCGTATTAATATTATAAATGTGAATGAAAACTTTTTATCCCGGAAAAATGTAAGGTTCCCGTGGGATAGGTTTGTTTTTGTGTTCGTAGAGACGAACCCGAGCAAAGCGAGAGGGAGCCGCTAGTTAATATTATAAATGTGAAAATTTGTGAGTATGGATGTTTGTTACTCTTTCACGCCAGAACGACTGAACGGATCTGGATAAAATTTGACACAGAGTTAGATTATAGTCTGGAATAACACATAGGCTACTTTTTATCTCGGAAAAATTTACGGTTCCCTGGGGATAGGTAGGGTTCCCTGTGGGAAGTCTTTGTTTTCCTAGAGGCGAACCCGAGTGGAGCGAGGGTGAGTCGCTAGTAATTCATAAATGTCAATATTTTTTTAACCTTAACGCAGTAGTCATCTAAAAACACACCTAAAATCTATAAATTTTAATCAAAAAATTAATCCTATTTCTAGATCCTGATTGGGCTTCATACAACCTGGGCATATTCATATGCATGCGATGTGCGAGCATCCACCGCGGCATGGGGGCTCATATCAGCAAAGTGAAGCATCTCGAATTAGACCGTTGGGAAGATTCACAAGTTCAGAGGATGAAGGAAGTTGGTAACATTACTGCAAAGCATAAATATGAAGAACGAGTGCCTCCGTGTTACAGACGGCCGACAAAAAACGATCCACAGTGGGTATTTGTAGAGCTTTTATTTAACTTAGTACGTCAAAGCTCGCGATTTAAAGCGGCAAATTAATTCAGAAAATATAATTTATACATATTTATGCTATAATTACAATAAATTTAGCATTCTCTACAATAACAACAGAAAGAAATAAAAATGTCAAAACTTGACCTACATGCGCTATCGCAGCACTATCAAGTATCCCAGGGAATATAACGTTACTTGTTGATAAACATCAAAATTTTAATAACAATACCACCTATATTATTTTATTTATAGTGTGTTTTGTATGGAAATCAACTCATTTGAGCGATAAGTAATCTATACATATAATAAAATTGTAACTAAGCCGAATCTGTACATTAAATTTTTTTGGAAAATCTTATTGAAATAGACTTTATTATCGATACAGAGGCCGAATGTATAGTTTTTAGTATTTTTGTATGTCTGTATATCTGTCTGTCTGTCTGTTACCGCATTACGGAAAAACCACTGGAGGTATTTTGATGAAATTTGGTATGGTGATGGCTGGTTACCCGGGTCGACATATAGGATACTTTTTACAAATATATATAAAATTTCTCATTTCTGAAAAAAATACAAAAACTGTAATGTAAGAGTATACTAATATATCAAAATTTGGTTTTTGGTCATCTGAACGCGGGCGGAGCCGCGGGCAATGCTAGTCTCATATGAAAATAAAGCTTATTTTAGTTAAGAAAATTAAGTTTGGCATAGAAAGGATAATGCGACCTTTTGTATGGACCGGTGGCATCAGTTTTTTCTTTCGCCAGTAATGAAACTTAGATTATAATTAGAAGACTATGTAAGAAGTCTATTAAATAAGAAACCAACTTGCTAAACCGTAACAAATAAGAGGTATTGTGGTTGCTATTAATTTTTATCAGGCGTTATTTTTTAATAAATACTACTTTATTCTACTCAACCATTGAATATAATTTCAGGGTTTTGATCGAGCAATGGATACGAGCAAAATATGAGCGTGAAGAGTTTTGTCATCCAGAACGCCAAAGCTATCTTTCCGGCTCCATGGAAGGATTCCTCATGAAGAGAGGCAAAGAAGACAGCAAGTACCAACTTAGAAAATTTGTCCTAAACGAGAATGAGGACACACTGAAGTAAGTCCTACAAACAAGTGTTTGCGATTAATTCTACACAAATTCGTCCTCTAAGTCTCAAAGATATTTTTAACAATACGTAGAATTAACTCGCAATCCAAATCAGCCAATCGAGTAAATTAACATGCATGTTTGTCTCATTGCCATTTCGATCATTTATGTTTGTCCATTAAAGAAGAAAGTTATAGGTGTCTACATCAGCTACATTATTGAGAAATTTTCTTAATCCAATTGCTTTTCATTGACATACTTTTTGTCTGATATGCGATTTAACAGTTAATTTACGTTTTAACGATTCACAATAATCGTTTATTCAGTATAAACTACGGCTACAATATAATTTCGTCAAGTGATGAAATAGCTAAACAAACTGTAAGCAATTGTTATTTAATCTGTACTCTTGCCAACAAACTGCGAGTGTTGTTTACCAAAATTCTCCTGATGATAAGAAAGATTAAGGTCTAAAGTCCGTCTCATACGGCCGTTTGTATAATTACGGTTACATTGTATTTAATTATACTTCAATTCAATTTATACTCAACGATTGTTAATTTTAAAATATAAGTAGCGTACGTTATGTAGGTAATATTGAGATACCTGTGTAAAAAGCAGATGACGTATGGCTTACGAAAACTTCCACACCTCTACCGCTACGTCAAAAGGCTAAACAAATATTGACCGTTGACGTAATTTTATACACAAAATTCACGATAACAATTATAATTCGCTCACTAAATTTTAATAAAATCTGCATCCGGATACAAATTGCTCGTGTATAGCGTAAAACTTTGAATTTTTAAAGACTTTCCAATGAATAAGGACTTAAGTAATTACCTTATGACCCTGTTACTACATACGTTTAATTAAATTATTGTTGTCAACGTCATATTTATCGTCGACATTAAAAGATAATGAGTGCATATAAATTCTTTTAGATATACTGTTATCAATTCTATGCACTTGACGGAAATCAGTACTAAGTACTTATGACGTCACCGAACCTACGTTTAGCCTACGCAAAACCCCATCTCGTCATGGACGCAAGTAGTTTTATTGCATAGTTAAACTTCATATTTTTTAAAGACAAAAATGATTTATTTTTACATTCTAGGTAATATGTTTACGTCATTTATACCGATAAAGTACGAGGTTTTAAATTATAATTTTGAATACTTTGCATTTTCTGTTTTCTTTATACACTAAACAAGGCCAAGTCGAAATCAAAATTTAAACAATACTGCGTGCCTTTTCTTAAAATATTATAAAGCACTAGCATTGCCCGCGGCTCCTCCCGCGTTCGATGTCCAAAAACCAAATTCTTAGGTTTTACATTACAATGCAGTTTTTGTATTTTTTCTCAGAAATGGGATATTTTCCCGCAGTAAAACGTATCCTATATGTTGACCCGGATAACCAGCTATCATCATCATACCAAATTTCATCAAAATCTGTCCAGTGGTTTTCTCGTGATGCGGTAACAGACAGACAGACAGACAGACAAAAATTCTAAAAACTATAGATTCGGACTCTGTATCGATAACAATGTCTAATTCAATTACATTTTCCAAAAAATATTTAATGTACAGATTCGACTTAGTTACAATTTTATTATAGATATAGATTATAAATAAAATTACCTTAACACTTATTCTGTGTTCATAATATTATACCAATAAAATTATATCGGCTAAATAAATAATAATTAAATATAGAGAGTACATTGACTTAATTACGTTACATTTTTCGCAAAAACAACATTTTCTTCGAATCATTTGAAAGTTTATTACGCCAATATAAAGTTTTAATAAACAAGAAAACACCGTTATTACTCGCAGCGTTTTATAAAGCCAATTCCACACGAAAGCATATGAATGTTAATCGGCATATATTAAAAATGCATTACGTATAAAATTCTAAAAGGTAAATTAAAATTGAAACGTACATATATTTAGAGTGATGTATAGTTTCTCTTAATCCGGAATGGTTCTTAGGTACCAAGACGCTTCCGACGGCTGTAGCCGTGCTTCGGGTTGTCTCGGTCGGATTTTCGATCATCTCCGACTCAAAAACTTGGGTCGTTTGAGGTAAGAAGCGAGATTTAAAGATAATAAGCACAACTCTATGTAGGGTGTAATGATAAGCTTATGGAAAATTCGATCGAAATTAAAGGTCGATTTCGTTTACTTATGTATACTATGCCTTACTTCTAATTAGGAATACCATGCTGTTTATATCAACCTTACAGTAATAATTTATGGGATTTCTTACTAAGAAACATAATGAATAAAATGCTTGCATAAATAAAGTACCTATGTCCAATTTTATCATATTCATCGTGAGCTTAACCATTTTGTCGACTTTGCCTTGTATGTGCTGAATGCTAATCATCTTTCATTAACACGCTTACAGTTAGGATAGTATGTGCTTGACCATAATCATTACCATGATTATCATAAACATTTATAATCATTATCATCAAAATTAACAATATAATTATATTCGACGTAAGTCAAAATTATTATATTACATTTATTGTATTTGAAAATGTACTTAATAAAATCCTAACAGTAAGCGATATGATACTTATATAAATATGATTTATGATTCAATTATTTCTGTATAGGATAACTGTGTTTTGATATATTTAAGTAATTATTTATATCTATATATATTTCATTTATGTACATATATATTAATTAAGTAATGAAATTAAGTATATGAATAAAGTAAAATAGATCCATTTTTGTAAATACTTTTATCTAAGATCTAAACAGATAGATCGACGGATAAAACTTTAAAGTACCTATACCATACTATGTAAATCAAATGGTTAGTACTTGATAGCATATACTTTGTTACCAGTCATAACTGGTAACGAAGTATGATAACGCACTTTCCTAATAACAAATATATAATCAAAAATCCACGTTTGTCATACGATATTACACAGTTAGTCCTTATATGCTTTGATTATTAAAATTGACGCACGTATATAGATACCTACACCGAATTTATGGGGAAAAATTCAATAATTATAATTAGTCAACTAACAATTTGAAAACACATCATTATTGCCATTTATAATTTATATTTCTAGGTATTTGTATGGAAAAAACGTTTTTTTTTTCGGATATAACCGCACAATTTTTTTCATAATTGCATTTTGTTTTCTTTAGATATCATGTCAAAGAGCATAAAGAGCCTAAAGGTGTTTTGAAGTTGTCAGAACTAAATGTTTCATTCGCGCCAGCTAAGATCGGACACATGAACTCCATGCAGCTGACATTTATGAAAGACGGCTCTACCAGGCACATTTACGTGTATCATGAAGACCCAGAAGTTATTAATAATTGGTAAGAATTTTTTACACACTCTTACCTAATTATTCCTAAACTATTGTAAGAAGTTTTTTTTTGTTTATATGTATTGTAAAATCTTTATAAACTCTTCTCCTTCTCCCTGCCCATTTCCCAATCACTTGGGGTTGGCGCAGTACATCTTCTGTCCCCCCCAACGTGCGTTCACCTTGTCGTGGTGGGGGGGCTCAGTAGTGCCCGGCAATCCAACCGGGCGCGAAGCTAAGAAACGCACAGGGAGGTTGCCCACTTCGGTGGGCGGTGGGAGGTGGCCCTCTTCGGAGGGCGGTGTACCATGCGGGTTGCTCCTGGTACTTCTCTGATAGCAGAGTGGACTGTGGAGCAACCCCATGGTTGGTGGTGGTCTGCTTCGGCAGACCTGCCGTCGGGGCGTCGTAGTTGAATGCGTAAGCGATCCTGCGACGCCCCATTAAGACGGGGGAAGGTTTTGTTGGGTTTTAGTGGGTAGTACTGGCTGTATTACGCCGGTGAGTCCCACACGTCGTGCGTAAATGCATTTCCCAACGTTAAAAAAAAAAAGTACATCTTCTGTACTGCTGATAGGATTTGGCAAAAGTTTTACGACTGGCCGCCTGCCTGACGTCAACCCTCCTTGGGAATGCTATTGTCTCTCTTTGTATGAATGGCGTCGCGGAAGTCTTGTAATATGCACTTTCGATTTTGTTGTCTTTTAAAACATTTTTTATACTATTACTTAAATTTTTAATGTTATTTTCGAATATATTTTATAATAAATTTTGATTACACAATAAATTTTGTTTTGACGTTGTCAAATCTTTATAAACAAAATGTGTAATACGGATTTTAACAATTCTTTCACCAGTAGAATGCTACATAAGTAGAGAAGTAGTCATATACTATAACTAAATAACATTTGACACATAGCTATTAGGTATACCAAAAAAGCCTAATATTTTACTTGAATATCAATTATTATCGTTATGAAATTGAAAAGCTCTTAACCATTTGATAACTTAATTTCATTAAGTTGATACCAAAATTCTCATTTAAATTTATTAAAAATATACTAAATATATTTTAATAATTTACCTATTAGATAAATCTATCTTAGATATACTATTAGATAACAAAATCGAAACAGGTGGAACTACTCCACATTAGTTAACTTTAAAATTTGTCCTAAAATAATAATGCAAATTAAAATATGTACGTATATTTTAAATGCGTACTTAAATATCACTTAAGATATAAAATATCAATTGAATAAATCTTTTGGCATAAAATTTATAATATAAGGTATAAAAATACTGATTCATTAATTATAACGAGTTGTGCTTAAAAAATCAATGTATTTTAAATGTAAATTTCAATTTTTTCTTAATGATACGAGTGATAATGTGGTATAGAGACAGTGTTTTTTCTTTGTGTATTCCGCAGAATGCGAGTAGATACTTTTATTTATTATACATAAATTATCAAAAGTCTTCTTTAATACACGACTAGCGACTCACCCTCGTTCCGGTCGGGTTCTCCCTAGGTTGATTGCCCATACAAACTTTCATCCCCATTTTCATCCTCTTAAGGGATGATTTCCGGGATAAAAAGTATCCTATGATCTTCCCAGGGTCTCAAACTATCTTCTTACCAAATTTCATCTAACTCGGTTCAGTAGATCCAGAGATTACCCCCTACAACGTCACAAACTCATAATTCACAAACTTTACCTCTTTATAATATTAGTATAGATATCGAAAAATAATATTAAAATTTGGCAGCTGTTCCGACGTGTATTTCTGTTTGTTTAATATATATATATATTATAGATATTATAATATTAATGGTTTAATACATAAATTAAATATATAAATTTATATTACAGGTATACAGCGATAAGGTGTGCAAAACTTCATTTGCTCCAAGTTGCATTTCCATCAACACCACAATCAGACCTAATCCTTCGTTTACCAAAAGATTTTGCAAGAGAAGGCTGGCTTTGGAAGACTGGACCAAGACCTTCTGATGTGCACAGACGTCGATGGTTCACACTTGATAACAGAAAACTAATGTATCACGATGAGCCCTTGGACGCTTATCCAAAAGGGGAAATATTTATAGGTAATATAAATATTTAAAAAAAAACTATTTTTAAAGCTTACATGCAATATACATATTCTATTTTGTAAAAAAAATATACATATATATTACATTTATTGCCAATATAACATTATTATTAATGTAGGTAGTAAAAAAACAATTAAATTATTATAAATAGCTCAAGTAATCAAAACGAAATAATAATGACAAACGAGTATATGAACAAAACCGCTTGTTGAAACTTGCTAACTAAATAAAAGATTTTTGTTTTTATATAAATTGCATAACACTTCTACACAATATTGCAGGCCACGAATCTAACGGTTATCACATAAAAGTATCGAACACGGGTAACGGGTGTAAAGAGGCAAGATTTCCATTCCACCTTGTAACTCCTGAGAGAACGTTTTGTCTCGCGGCGACCACGCACGAAGATAGAGCGGGCTGGCTTGCAGTCATACAACAGACCCTGAAGAGACCGCTAACACCACAAGATTCTACCAGTAAGTATAGATATTAATCATTTATTTAGAATAATATTTTATTAACAAACTATCTTTTTGATTTTTGGTGCCATTTTTGTTTAATTTTCTCCCCTCCATTTTTTCCTATTTGCGTGTTTGTATTTTTATGGGTGGGTACTGTCTGTAACAACTATATACTAATGACCTTTGAAACGTCTAAAACCTTAGTCTCTCTCATAACCATGATTGCTGTATATACGAGTATAGCATTTGAAACGTCGGGAACCAAAAATCAAAATAAATTCGCGAAAAGATCCGGAAAGATAGTTTTATTTAAAATGTTTATTATGAAGATATCTTTAGCATATAAAGTTGGAGAATCGCAAAGTAACAACAAGAATCGTAAGGTAAAACTCCAAATTTCATATTCGAGTTAATTTAATTTGACACTAATATTTAATGTTTAATTAAATTAAATTAAGTTTTTATATAAACGTTTGGCTGCAGTTTAGTTTTGGGGACTCGGCCCCTGGCGGAGTGGGTGGTATTTCTGGATAGGGGACGTGATAGGGAGTCCAAATGTTTTATTAAATATTTTAAGAAAACAAAAGAGTCAAAAGTTATTGAGACTTAAAGTTACAACATTTCCATACATTATTTTGACATTACTACCATTTAGACACTTGGAAATGTCAAAACGTCACTTTCAATTGTCAAAATGATCTCCAGATGATTGTCTTTATTTGTACTTTGCGTGAAATTTGAATTTTCTAGTTTTCTAGTCATTTATGGCGTTGTGGTAACTGTTCTAACCTAACCTAACCAAGATATGACGAATAATAAATAAATAATCTTAACTGTTCTAACCTAACCTAACCATTTTAACACCCGCCAATAATGCTGAAAAATATTCACAGATAAAAAAATGATTTTTTTTACTAAATGTACAATTTTAAAACAATATATTTTACATAAATCAGATAAAAAGTCATAAATGTATTTATGAAGTGAAAATAATATTTTTCTATTTATTTATTTATTAATATTACCAACAGAAATAGCAAAAATAATCAAATATAATCTGTTGTCATTTAAGCGGTAATGTAAAACAAAGTGACAGTTTTGCTTTTGTCAAAATGTAAGATCATTTTGTTTGTGTTGTTGTGAAATTATTAAAATATTAAATACAATAAAGCATTAATTGTTGTGAAAATATGTATTGTACATAAAACAGGATGCGTACTATTCGTTAAAGGTATGTTTATCTGTTGTAATCACTTATTTAGGTAAAGAAATGTATGGAAATGTGTTAAATATGTTATAACTTTAAGTCTCAATAACTTTTTACACTTATTTAGGTAAAGAAATGTATGGAAATGTGTTAGATATGTTATAACTTTAAGTCTCAATAACTTTTTACTCGTACGTTTCCTCCAAATATTTTTAATATATTTTGACTCTTTGTCACCTCCCCTATCTAAAAATACCACCCACTCCGAATGCTGGTAAATGAATATATGAAAATGTATGGAAATGTTGTAACTTTAAGTCTCAATAACTTTTGACTCTTTTATTTTCTTAAAATATTTAATAAAACATTTGGACTCCCTATCACGTCCCCTATCCAGAAATACCACCCACTCCACCAGGGGCCGGGTCCCCAATTCTAAACTTGTGCCAAACGTTTTCTCTTGAGATAGTTTTTGTTACTTACAGTATCAATGTAAACCGTAAATAGGTTTTGACTTACGTGTGGCTTACGCTGCAGAATGCCTTTATTTTTTGATCCAAATGTAACGTAATATACAAGATTTAAAGTATGAAGAAAATCTTACCATATAATATGTATGTATATGATGATACTACACTGATAATAATCTATACAAACTGTCAAAATTGAAGATCACAAGTTATTAATTAAAATACACGTCTAATGTTAATCATGTAGTCTATTTATAATAAAATATCTCACATTTTAATTCATTATATTATAGACATATTAAGGGTTGAATATTCTTGAAATTAATTTTTAAAATAAATATTTTTATCATTGAAAAACAAAATAAAAACATGCTGTTTTTACGAGTATGTATGTATAAAAAAATAGTGTCCATACAAATATTAATTACCTTAGTGCGTGAACGTGTGACGTTTTGTGTTGTTTTTATGTTATCTGTGTAATTGCTGTTTATTATTTGCATTGAAGTTGATAATATTAATTTGTTTCTTTTTCTTTCTCAGTCGAAGCGACTCTTGTTCGCAAACGCACAACGTCAAATTCGATCAGCATATTTTCTGGAAGGTAGTTAATTTTTTTTTTTCATTTGTATCGTAAGTTCGTATTAAAAGATCACGGAATCGGTCTCATCATCCACAATCTATGTTTTTCGCAAACGTATTTTTAGAACTTTATTTGTAAATAATATCATTTTTATAATTATTTTGGGTTATTTAATTCAGATAATTATAATTTAGTTTAAAACTTTATTTTAGTCAATTAAATTTGAATTGTAAATAAATTATTTTATTTATTAAATTAACATTGAAGGTACTGAATCTATAATTAATACATAAATTATTATAATCACAATAAATTTAATAGGAACGTTTTTTTTTCACAAAGAATAGTATGTAAAATATTGGCATGCATCATACAATATATGTATTTATGTAACGACTTAGGCTCGACGCACAAAGTATTGTTAATAAAATCATTTTTAAATTATCATGTACGATTTACTCACACTTTTTATACTATACCTACATGTAATTTTACACATTTAAAAAATAATAATATTAATAAACAAGTAGAAGAAAACAAGATTAATATTATAGATTTCACACATTTAGAGATTTTGTTTAACTTCCAACTATAAGTATATTCCAACGGTAATCATATATAACAGCAACACAACTTTAACCATAATCATTATAAAATTTAGATGTTTCCTATATAAAATTGATATGTTACTGAAATATAATTTGTAAACATATATTGCTCAGTTTATTAATATTTGAAAATACAATTTATCTTATACAGATATAGAATTAGTGCGATACATGTTGAGTGTAATAACTTCGTGTAACCTATGAAAGTTTCAGCTAATTTGATCCCGTAATTCTATATTTAGATTAGAAAACAAGTAAAGATCATAGCGATCTATTCTCTCTCATTTTGAACACGGCCTCTATCATTAGAGATAGAATTTAAAGACACTTGAAAAGAATCCATCGCGCTGTTTTCTTTTATTTTATTGAAAAATTATATATTTCCTAAAAAAATCTATAAAACCAAAAAATTAAGTTTTCTGTAAATATTAAGACTGGTAACACTACATAGTTTTTTTAAATGATATATGTACTGTTATGGACGTGATTGATCTTGACATAACTTTATTTAATGAAAAAAAAACGTAAACGACAATTTATACATATTTAGATTAAGGTTTTCATTATTAATAATTACTTGTGATGTTTTTTAAAAATTAAATCATTTAAATTACTATTGCTCTCTTGTTCATATAGAAAAGACATTCTACAGGGAAATTGTATGTAAATTATTCGTGCATATGAACACAAGTAACAATAAAAGTGGTACATAACGCTTTAGTGTCTTAAGCAATATACTGTAGTTAAGTAATAATTATAAAATTATTATCATATTTGGTAGATTTTGTACGGTTTAGATAAAAATTCATTAGTACGTAAATTCCCACAGTGGTGAAATTAGAAATGGTCAATATTGTGATCTAATTAGATCATAAAACTTTGAATGTGAAATGTCTCTTATATCACAACAAGTATTAAATTAGAGCAAATGAGAGGGATGTTGTGACGATGTGTGTAATGTGAAGCGTGAATCCGAAAATATTATAGCGAGATTCAATTTTCGTTCAGTTTAAAACTTTCACTATTTCTAATATAACTTGTTATACAGGGAAAAATATAATTTTATTTATTTTTTAATAATATCTAAATCTGTAATATAAACAAGGGATTTTTTTATATGTATTTTTAAATAAGATGTTAAAATAAATGACTCAAAATTTCTTTACAATAAACTTCCGTTTAAACCGTATAAGGGATAGATATTTTTATAGCGAAAACTAGTTTAAAATACCACCTCTATATCAGTAGTAATAAAATTATAATAATTGGCACAGACTTTATCTATTAACTTAGAATTTAATATGAAATTCTTAATGCTGTATTTAATACTTAACAATAAACATAATATGTAAGTAATAATGCAATAAAGTAGTATACACACAGTGTAGTTTTTAGTATATAGCTAAATACAATAGACTTAATACTTTCTTAGATTTACGCGAATATTTGACATTTTAAATAAAACTATCTTTTCGGATTTTGTCGCGGATTTATTTGTATTTTTGTTTCCCGACGTTTCGAATGCTTTACAGCATCCATGGTCACGGAAGAGACCATTCGAAACGTCGGGAAACAAAAAAAACAAATAAATCCGCGACAAAATCCGAAAAGATAGTTTTATTTAAAATACAATAGACTTATAAAATACTTTTCTCTTTGTTTTTGCTTTTTAACTATAAATAATCCTATAAGTTAACTTAAAAATTCTAATATCCCTAGCGATGAATGTTACGATCAGGTTAAGCTGAGCTTTATATTTAAATTTTCAAAAGAACTTGATATATTTTTTTGTAAAATAATGCGATATAAAATTAATTTGTTCTGCATTATATATCTAAGTAATAATGACTTGTGGCACCCTACAATTTTTGTAATTTAATTACAAATAAACTGAAAGTTACACGAATTTAGGGAAATTATGATATTTTCATTCTTAGTGAAATATTTTGGTCGTAATCTCAATGTAGGTATTGCTTTGCTAATATCTTAAGATGCGATTCAATAGTGTCAAATAGATTTATTGTATGATATTTAAACTTAGTGCGATCTAACTCAACTTGGTGTAGCCATAGTGATTAGAAAATTTGGTCATAAACTATGTTAGTACATTCAAATTATTCTCTTTCACATCATTTTAGTATTTTATAATCAATTATTTAATTATTACTAAGTCCTTTATTAACACCCATTTTAAAGAGCTTACATTCAAAAGCTTATAGTGATCAAGTCATGACCTATTTTTGAAAATATTATTTCGTTTATAAAGTAAACTGCTTTTTTTATTTTCCAACTTTATAAGAGATATTGAAAATAACTATCTAGTGTGCCGAAGAAATGGGCATAAATACTTTTGAAAACGATGATTTTATGACCTTTATATAAATGTATTAAAAAGCTAGGAGACTACCAAAAAGGTAGAATAATATTTTAATATTAAAGTGTATTTTATTGGTATGATGTTTGATATACGATTGGACCTGAGTGTGAAAATGATGAATAAAATTCATCTGCGTATGTGAAATGAAGTTGTGTAAAATTTTAATAAATTTTTTCTACCCGACATTTTATATTACAATATAGATAATGATTCCACATTTTAATCGGGACCATTGAAATAAAGCAGTCCCTTAAAATATATAATTTTTAATCAGTCTCCAAGATTTCATTTCAATGTACTAATATTTCGAAATAATAATGTATTTTTTAATGTTTTTAATGTCAGTAGGATTAATTCAATCCAGCAATTACTGTATGTATATAAATAAATTTCATCAAAAGTATTAAAAAGATTAAATATATTTGAATATTTACGTTTTATTTATATTAAACTACAATTAATCTGTTGTGAAAGTGTAGCGGTAACATCTTCATTCACAATTATATTAAGTGTTTGTACTTATTTTACTAAATAACCTTGATGAAATTGACTTTATTAGAAAGCTAACTGAAAATAATAGTTTATTATAAACAGTAGTGTATGGTGTAATAATTGTAATTTATAATCCTAAATAATTCAACAGTGTATACTCCATTGTATTTTACTGCCACTACATTTATACATAATATAATAAACATATACGGATAAAATATAACACCTTTGCTTTAGTTAGAGCTGTAGAATAATAATTTAAACAATTTTTTACCAAAATGTTGCCTCGCTTAAGTTATATTATTATTTGTTGTAGATAATTTAAAACTTTTTAGTGTGCTCTGGCATAATACATACATGTAATTGAATATTTATAATAAGATTATTAAAAATTTTCACCGGCTAACTTTACGTTTTATTTTACCTAAATATCCTTTCTGGTTTTTTTTAAAGTTGGGAAATGTATTACTGCATATTACCTGCATATAAATATATAGGTAGAGGTTACCCGGCTAGAAAACTACTATTCCCTAAAACTCAACGGAACCTTCCGGGGAGTGAACATCTGAATGAGTGTTGAGGACTTATTTATTTAAAAATAATACAACAACAATTACTTGAAGATTTATTTGTAATAAAATACTTATCTGTAGCTAGAAGGTAAAGATATTAGATTCTACCTAGTGCCTAGTGCCTACCATCTTTAACCGACCGAATAGCATCTGACTCTACGTGCCTACTATATTAGAGTGCATCTGTGTGCGTTCGATTATAGCATAAGGTTAAATTTATTGATTGAAAAGAAACTACACTGAAACGTACTATAGAAATAATATAGGTATACTAGCCACCCGTTTCAGTCCTAGTTATTTTTTGGGTCATGTAATTTTTTTTAAACAGATTAAACAAAAACAAAGAAAAGTAAATATGTATACGAGGAGCAAACCAACAAACATTTTCGTGTTAATACTATGAGTAAGGAAATAAATTTTTAAACGCCTAAATTTATATTATTAGAAGCAAATTCGTATGTAAAAACTTCAAGATATGTGAAATTCTTTAATGGATTGTATTTTTTGCAGAGCATTTTGTTTGTTTTGCCAGGTTCCGTAGTGTCAGGGGAGTGTTTAAGATATCGAGTTACCACTTAACTACACTTTCATCCGAGATCAAACGACGGCAGCTTAGTCTGACGGCAATTTCGTATCGAGTAACAATAATTTTGACACTCTCGTAAAGAGCGCTTGAAAGTTCTACTTTTTCATTAATTTTTTTCTACTTGTATTGAAATGTTCATAGAATTTAATAAGTATTATATAGTTATTTAAAACATAAACATGTTATAATAAGTAGAATTTATAAATGTAATTTCTATTTGGTACTTGAAGATTGATTTGGTCCTTATGTAAAAATAAAATAAGTTTCTATACTGCAGAGTATAATACATTATTTAATGTACATATGGCGTTAAGATAATAATAAGAAGATATTGATAAAATTAAATATATTTAATTAACCAGTATATTATGATATTTTACTTTATTAGTTAAAAATCTATAGAATATATAAATAATATAATATCACACATTATTCATCAAGCTATCGGACGAATAATTTCTCATTTCGTAAAAATTTTCTTTATAACCATAATTACAAAATTGCATTGCATTATTGACTTCATTTCTTTCATCATAATTTCTTTCGTCGTAATCGTTTTCCGAGTACTCCTGCCCGTAATTGTCATTGCAATTGACGCCATTTTGAATTTCCCGTTGAATTTGACTTCGATTGTTGACAGGAGATTCAGAGTTTTGTCCATTTAGACTCCATCTTTGAGAAATTGAACAACTTAAAGTGCCACCGTGTTGAAATGCAAACGGCCAAGCCTGGAATGAAATTAATTACAATGATTTAGTGTTAAATATATATTCATTTAGTCCTAACAAAAAATACACCACTACTATGGATAAAAAAATCTTTAATCGTAAAATTTTAATCAAAAATATATAGGGATTTTTTCTATATTTTTTTATTGCGAGAATATATTTTTAGACAGTATGAAGATGGTGGTAAAAAGATCAATGCAGACCTCCCAACGCGACATTTGATATATAAAGTGCGAAGAGGTATTGTAAAATTTGACCCTTACTCCGATATTCAAATAAACACAAATAAACATCTGTTGACCTGCAAAAAATATTCTTAGAGAAGGAAGTTTCAGTATAAAATATAAATGTATGCATATTGTTTGTATATTTTTATGGGTCTCGATCCGTGCAACATGTTGATAGTCATGAAATTACAGAAATTTTAACCATGATTTATAAAAGCTAACTTATTATAACTGTAAATTACCTGACTTGGCCTATATAAGGAAAAAGTGACGAATTATGAGTATAAATGAATTAAATAAAGAAAAGTAGATAAACACAGTTTTAGGTTATTTAAAAAATGTGAGCAATTAGATTTTAGTATAACAAAAGCACATCGGGAAAACAATAAAGCTGGATCATCTCTTTAACGTCCGGAGATAAATTTTATTTATACCCCAAACAGCTGCAAACTTTTGGTCAGCGCGCGCGCAACCCGTAAAACTCGTGTTTATTGTTATTATCTTTTTGTTTCTAACTCTACATCCCAATTCTGATATCTCAATGTTTATTTGTGTTTAAAAAAGGCTTAACCTCTTGCCTAACTATAATCAAAAAGGTTTGTTTTTTTAAGTATGTGGGCACATAAAAAGTTACTAATACATATTTATGTATATTTTTTTGTATTTTTTTTTTAAATAACGTTCATTTAAAAAAAAATAATGCATGGCTTAAAATTATGTATTATGTATTTAGGAAAAACCATAGCCAAAGTTTCACCAGTGAATCGATAATATACTACACTTCTTAACAACCAAAGCTCATATATTACAATATGGACCTTCTCGGAACGTGCCTTTAATCCAACGATGACAGCAATGCGTCGCGGTGGCGTTTAGCAAATACCTTTGATTCATCGCAGTTTGAACATAAGGGTAAGTTCACACTAATAACGAGTTATTTTAAAATATTACCATAAGCTTGCATTGGCGTGTAATAGGTACATCAAGTGATTGCGACTTTGATAACATTTTAGAATTTCTTGACATTGCGTTTTACGCACCCCAATTAATTACATATACCTATCTATTTGCATTAACTAAGAAGGTAAGTCAGTGTTTTAGGTATGATATGCCATATATTTTTATTCTTTATATATAAATATAAATTACATAGGGATTATGAATTTTTATTTTCATCTAAATCGGTTTACTAAATCCAGAGATTACCCCTACAACGTCACAAACTCACAATCTCACAAACTTTACCTCTTTATAATATTAGTATAGATTAACTCTTCATGTATCTAATTAAATAAATAAAGAACATCTTCATCATGAATTATTAATTTGCCAAGTATGCAGGGAGCTTTATAAGCTCCTAGCATGGATGAATTAAGGAGATGACACATAGGACAGGGGATAAATCGTCAACAATTATGTGATCACGTGACTTTTACTTTTTATAGACAAATTATTTCCAGTGTTTAGGATTTGTAAGGAAGATTGAGTTATAGTTACAATTTCTCACATCTTTATTTAAACAGAGCACCTCTCGATCCAACAGATAAACCAAATTTCTATACAAACTGTTTAGCTTCATCAAAACCTCTATATTTGCCTTGATGTGTTTAGCTTGCTGACTTATCCGACGCTTTTACAATCACAAAATTAATTTTAAAGTAAGATCATATTAGCATAATATTAGCATATCTAAGTACATGCATTATTTTCACAGCACTACAAAGTTGACACTCATGATGTCAAGTTTGACTGACAGAGCTCTAGACTTTAACTTTAATATAGCAGAAAGTAGCAAATCACTTCAAATAATATCCAAGTTTTTGGCGATAAAGGAAACTCTTAAATTATATTATAAACCAGCGACTCACCTTCGCATCGCTCGTGTTCGTACCCCAGTAAAAGATAGTATGGAATAGATAGTCAATCTCTTACTCTATGAAAAACAAAAATAAATCTATCTCACGGAAACCGTATATTTGTCCGGAATATTTTTTTTGACGCTGGGGAAACCCATCATGGGAACCCTGCCCACCGTCATAACGGACAAAGTACTGTGAGACTCCTACTCACTAAAACCCACAGCGGAACCCGTCGCCGCAGTACAATGGGGCGTTGCAGGATCGCTTGCGCATTCACTACAACACCCCTAAACTTTTATCCCCTACTTTACCCCCATAGGGGATTAATTTCGAAAAATCCTTTCTTAAATAATACCTAGAGTATAAAATCAATATTTTTTCCATATTTTAAACGTCTACCATCATCGGTTTGAGCTGAACGTTGATAAGTCAGTCAATCTAGCTTTCTAAGACTCGACTCGATAGGACTAGTTATTGTGTTTTCTCGTGGAAACAAAAGATTTTCCTGCAATAAAAGGTATCCTAAATGTTGACCCGAATAATAAGTTATTACTAAACAAAATTTAGTTTAAATCGGTTCAGTACTTTTTGCGTAAAATGCGCACACCCAAAAAGGACACTTTTTTTTAAACTGTTGTTTTGAGGTCTATATTGTGTACATAATAAGTTATAGTACATTGTTTTTTAAAAATATTTCATGTACAGATTTCGCTAAGTTACTGTTTTATTATATGTTAACTAAAATGTAACTTCGGGAAAGGTTATGCTTACACTATTTTAATATGACGTTCTTTTACGGATATTAATTTTTACTTTTAAAAAAAAATTGATATTGTAGTTTGTATATTGATTATTATCAGATAACTGCCTCGGTGGTGTAGTGCTAGCATATACGGCTGCACATCTGGAGGTCCTGGGTTCAAGTCAGGCCAAGTATAGTTATTGAGCCGCCGCTCCTGCGCCTTAACTCTCACCGGTCGTGTCGAGTAGTCGTCCCACCGGAGTATGAGAGTGACAAAAATAGAGAGTGCCCTCTATATAGCAATATCTTCTCAATGAGACTGGCCAGCGTGGTCTATATCGGTCGGAAGGACACACACACATTGCCATTATTTAATAGACTTAAGCGTATGCATAAATATTATTTTCATGTAAAAATACTCTTCAGTATGCTTAATTCCAGCTTAACAGTTGTTGTCAGGAAAGAATTGTCGAGAGCGCGTGTAAGCTGTACCTGAATGACTTGAAAACTGTAGTACCGATTTGAAAAGATTCATTAATTCAAATTCAAAATATTTTATACAGCATTAATTTATTTTTTTTACTGAACTGCTTGAGTCTACTACCAGTTCGGAAAGCAGAAGCCCCAGACCTGAGAAGAACTGGCGAAAGAAACTCAGCTAATTTTCATCAAAAAAATTATTAAAAAAAGTTTGAAATTTTCAAATTAAAGACGTGTAGACAGGACAACGTCTGTCGGGTCCGCTAGTTTAGTATAATATCTTACTACTGGACTAAAAAGGTATATCATATCCAAAATCACTTTTTAATTGATTTATTAATTTTTGAAGTCGGTCAGGAACACACACACCACAGCCACAGAATTTTTCCCGGAAGTTCATAGCAGGTAACGGTATATATCGCAATTAAATAGGTACATATGTATATTCGTACAGAAAAAACTTGTATTTGATCTCTAGGATCAAAATACATATTTTAAAATTAAAAATATTTTAATCATAACAAATTCAATGATTACTATAATTGAGTTTTAAAATTAATGAAATAGAAATTTGCTATCAATACAAGTTAAAACACAATTCGAGCAACGTTGTTATAGGTCTAAGGGAAAGTTCTGTCGTTTTTTTCCTAAAAGAAAGAACATTTTTTTTTCACTTTTTATTAAAAAACCATCCAAAATATAATGTCCTTTATTAGTTACAAATGTCTGTCAGCGATCTGGCAGCTTATCTAACCCACTGAAAAAGAATTCCTCTTTTTTGGAGACAAAGTATTATTTTACTGCTAGTTGAACACCATCATAATTTATATATTTATTTCCATCAATAAAGTATTACAGCGACTTAAACAGATGATAGTCAGATGGTCCAATATCTGGAGAATATGCTGGCTGAGGTAAAGTTTCCCAACCCAACTCTGCAATTTTTTGTATGGTTTTTCTTGCCATGCGTGGTCTAGCGTTGTCGTGGTGATGAATCACCCCCTTTCTGTTGGCCAAACATGAACGTTTACGTTGAATTTCTTTATTTAAAACATCAAGTTGCGGACAGTAACGATCAGCATCGACCGTTTCATTCGCTTTCAGCAAGTCATATTGCACTATACCCTTGCGGCCCCAACAACAACACAACATAACCTTCTTCGGATGCACGCCAGCTTTGGATGTGGACGGTGGTGTCTCCCCTTTGTAAACATATACTTTTTTTCTAACCACGTATTTAAAAACTATCCAGTTTTCATCTCCAGTCACCAAGTAGTCCAAAAACGGCCCCCTTTTGTGACAAGCAAGATTTGAAGAACATATCGAAATTCTGTCCATTAATTTTTTTCTCTTAATTCGTGTGGCACCCAAACAGAGAGTTTAGAAACGAAACCAAGCGTTTCAATGTGATCTAAAGCAGTAGTCTGGTAAATTCCAAGCTTGAATCCTACTTTTGTGGAAGTTAACGTGGGATTTGTCTTGATCATACTGCGTAGCACTTCGTCATTGACATCTGATGGCCTTCCTGAACTGGGTTGATCTTTCAAAGAAAAATCACCTGAACGAAATTTCCCAAACCACTTTTGGTATATTCGAGCTATTACTGCGTCCTCTCCAAACACGTCACACCAGTTTTTTTTTGCCTTCATCGCGTTATTCCCTTTTTGGAAGTCATATAACATACAATGTCATAAATGCAATTTTTCATCACTCATATTGACAGTTTTAAAAGTTTAAAAAAACTGACTTAAATTGGAAAAAATGTGTATAAATCATCAATCATATACTAATCTAACTATTTAAACCGGTTTCAGTCGGATCAGAATTCTTGGTAAGGATCGGCAACGCATAAAAGTGCAAGTGTTCAAAAACGACAGAACTTTCCCTTATACCTATTAAAATGTTTAGTATAAAACTTTGTCAGTAGATGATTATGTAAAGTTTTTAACTCTACAAATTTACCACTCACATACTTACGAGTATATACATAATATATTCTCATTCAGAGAGATTCCATACTCAACACTGCAGAATAGTTCGTAAATTGTTATACATATATTACCATATGATACAACCAATAATAACATCAGGAAAAAGTCCGCGTTAAGGTTCTTCCTATGTATTTCTTAATATAATAGAAATGTTTAAAATATAGAAATAATAAAAACCCAAAGCCCAAAACCCAAAAAGAAGAGAAAATATTCAAAGTGATTGAAAAATGTGGAAGAAGTATGATTAGAAAATGTAAAATGTACAACAATCAAATACTAACCAAGTTAAGAGGATGCGGCGGCGTGTGCGCAGATCTCGGCTCGTGTAGCAGCGCTCGTAGATGCGCTATATACGAGGCCGCCAGCCGTAGAGTGTCGAGTTTTGACAATTTCGTATCCGCCGGCACCCACGGCAAAGTGGTTTTCAATCTAAAATGGTTAAACAACATTTAAAAAGACGCACAAATAATACAGGTAAAACATAGCAGTTCTTCGTGATCATTTTTATTCATTATGTAACAATGCCATTGGATTAAAGAACATAGATTATTTCTTTGATTTAACTAAAATATTTGATTGTTAGCCCAAGTTTATAGAAAAAACATCTGATATCGCATATACATTGCACTCATATAGTTTTTATTAGATATCTGTAAGTGAAATTAGAAAAAAGTAATGAGTACGTACAAATGAAACGAGGAACACAAAGTTTAGAAAACCTCATATCGCGTCAAAATAAGGAATAAATTGAATCATTTTTTGTAAAGTAGACTAATGAGCTTTAAGAAAATCTTTCATTTAATATTATGTAATCTTATCTATACATTCCTGTAATAAAATTGTAACTAAGCCGAATCTGTACATTAAATATTTATTGAAAAATCTTATTGAAATAAACATTATTATCTATACAGACGCCGAATCTATAGTTTTTAGAATTTTCGTCTGTTTATCTGTTACCGCATCACAGCAAAACCACTGGGGGGGATTTTAATGCATATAGGATACTTTTTACCGCGGGAAAATATCTCATTTCTGAAAAAAATATACAAAAACTGCAATGTTAGAGTACCTATACTAATATGTAAAACCGAAGAATTTGGTTTTTGGTCATCTGAACGCGGGCGGAGCCGCGAGCAACGCTAGTTAGTAAATATAGCATCATATATATTTTCTTACCTACAAAAAGCTTTTGAAAGCACTCTCATACGGGCACGTTCTCGAGCATTAGCAGCATTCCTGTGTTGCGGCTCATGACCACTTTTTCCTATTAGAAATAAAGAATTCAAATTATGTCGATAACTTACACAAATCCTTCAGTCTACAAATTAAAGCAATAAGCACATTCATATTTCAGTTTTAAAATTATTTAGAATGCCTACAGAGTATCTATTTGTTATCTAATACATCATTTTCATTTTATCAAACAGAAAACATACGATACGTTTTATTTTACTCCTTTTTAACATGTTGTCGTCGACCCTCAATTTGTTTCGTAATTTATTTATTTTTCATAATAAATAAATTAGTTTAATTACTACCTATCTATATGCAAGTATTTATATAAAACATTTTGGTCATTTACTATACGAAACACAATGCACATTACTTATAACAATCTTACTATTATTATAAATGTAAAAGTTTGTGAGTATGGATGTTTGTTAGCCTATGACGCCAGAACGGCTGAAACAGATCTGAACGAAATTTGGCACAGAGATAGATTATAGCCTGGAGTATCATATAGGCTACTTTTTATCCCGGGAAAATATACGGATATTCCAAAGGATAGATTTGTTTTTTGTTTTCCTAGAGGCGAACCCGGGCGATGTGAGGGTGAGCCGTTAGTATAATATAATATGATAAAATGAACATGGTAAATGGGCAATATGTTGTACACGTAGGGCCACGTGTACGTTAGGAAATATAGTAAACATAATAAAAAAGAGAAAAAGGTACGCAATCAAAATTTGATTAGTATTTTTTGGATTTTCAATCAACTCACCAGAACCAGATTGAGAGTCATCAAAAAGAAAATCGTCGTCGTCCACGTCGTCGGTTCTTTTTTCTACATGCGGCGAACGATTGATGCGTTTTCTAGGCATTTTCACGCGCAATCCGACACAAATCACTTCACATTAATTTGGACATATTTTCAAAAAGTGTATGAAATTGGAAACTAAATTACGTGGGGGTGCGTGCCCTCCTGTCTAGCTGCGTGACGTTTACCATTTGAGATTGTAAGCCCGCGCCTGCGCAAGGCGGTCGCTTGGGCGGCGCCTACGCACGCCCCTCCCGTCTGCATTTCAGGATTATCCTCGAACAAATGAGAAATAAGATATACAAATTATAAACCTCAAATATTTACGTATAATGTATGACTGCTTCACATTATATTCGCTTATAATGACACATATCTTACCTATTACTTCAATTTTCACAAAATATTCGGGCCATGTACAAAAAAATACAATATAAATATTAGTATATAGAAATATATTTATAGTTATTTAAATAAAATTAAGAATAATATTTACTTATTACTAATATTAATGAAACTGAATTACATATATTTTATAAAGTTACCAACTCCTTGTTATTTTTTTTCATGGGGAGGAGAGACTATATATTTACGATTAGAAAAAGTAAATAATATAAATCATTTAAACGTCTATTAGGTATAAAATGTGAATTTTAAACTTTTATAAATAAACTAGCGACTCGCCCTCGTTTTGCTTCGTTCTAGGTTGATTCCCCATACAAAATTTCATCCCCATTTTCACCCCCTTAAGTTGATTTCCGGGATAAAAACTATCCTTGTCCTTCCCAGGGTCTCAAACTATCTTCTTACCAAATTTCATCTAAATCAGTACAGTAGTTTCAGAGCCTATATAGAACAAACAAACAATCAAATCTTACCTCTTTATAATATTAGCATAGATTAACAAAAGTATAGGAACTAATAAGAAATACTCATAGATGAAAAGATTGATGGGTATGTTCGTTACGGGTCGTACTTCCGCGACATCCTATACTTTTTGACGACACGTGCTACACCCACCCCACTTACATTTTACTGATTTATAAAAAATAATTTAAAATGCACATTTATATTTGGTAACAAATATTTTTTATAGTGAAAAAAGTTGAATAGTATTATAATTTTTATGAATCATTAAAAAAATCGAAATATTTTCCAGCCTAAAACTCAATTATTATTATTTAAAAAATATTAATAATAAATGCAGAATGTAGCAAATTTAAAAGGAACTAATGGAAGCTACGGTGAGTCCTAATTGTGGAGATGATCAAGTACAGTGGCTTCGAGTCGAGAAGGTAAGTCAGCTTCAAATAGGATAATCATAGGGTTACCATTTTCATAAATTATTTTATTAATATATTTTTTATATTCAAATACTACGAGCAAATTTCAGCCTTTTTCAGAAGTCCTCTAACGGTATTGTTTTAGTTTTATCCTAATTCCATTTTATGCTACATTTATATATTTTTGTTATATATAATTTAACTAGCCAACGAAATGAGCCAAAAATATATGAATATTTACTCATATTTTAGTTGGCTAACTTTCTAGAACACAGCCTACTCTACCTATCTATAATTAATATTAAGTATGATTTAGTATTTTTTGTTATAAAATATTTAATTTATTCGTTGTAAGGTTAAGCACAGGTATAGTGCATAAGCATATAAAACACCTATGACAAAATCATAGTATCTTGAAATATTGTGACAGCCCTATATCGTCCAGGTGGCAGATATCAAACACCGAGTTGCTCGAAGTGATTCGTTTAAAGCGCCAGTGTGACTTACGGCGGTGCTAATGTTTTCTTAACAAATATTATTCTTTGGTCCACTTACAGTGTCTATAAGTAATAGTTATCAAACACATACACATATACATGATTAATAAGAATTATACCATAATATAAACAACATGAACGATTTAATTCAACTGTACCTTCAGTTATCTTCGCATGATTTAGGTAATTAGTAATTACTCTACCTCCTCTCCGTTTGTAGTGCACTCTGTTATAGACATAGTAGATAACAGATTCGCAATTTTATGCTATGAGTTTTGCGTTAACTAAACAAATGAAATAATAACTATATTTACGTTATCTTTTGCGGTACTACTTATGGTAAAGTACGCAAAGTCATAACCTACTGTCATAATTTTCTTATTTGAAAGCTTGTTTCTTGGCGAAGGTTCTTAGACATGTTTTATAAAAATCGACTCAGCCATTTTAGATATGAAGATGAAAGTGAGGATAATAATCGAATATTTTCAAAGCTGTTTTGAAAGCTGACGTGATCGAGATGGTTCTTAGCTATAATTTAGCTATAATTTATGAAGATCTGTTCTGGGGTTTGATGATCATCAGCTCATTTCCTACTTGACAAAAGGGTCTTACTAACTTTCACTGATCTGATTGATTTGAAATTTGGTGCACTGTTATTTCGGTGGCATTTCCAAGACATTATTACCTTGAGCAGATGCTGTAGCATCGAATAGTTTGCATGATGCTCAATTCCTCAGAGACTTACAACAGATATGGCGTGTTTGTGTTCATAAAAATAATCTAAGTGAGAGTTATCTATTAGAATTAGTGACCGCGAGTAATTTAAAAAGAATGAAATAAAAATAAAATTATTAATTTTAAGTAAAGTCCGATACAAAAAAAAAACTCTAAAAAAAATTTTTTTTTCTTGGCCTTTTAACTTTTTTAAAACGTACCCATTAATATATTGATGATGAACATCGCCGCGTCATCAGTCGTCGTCGCCGCCAGTGACAGAGAAGTTGAAAGGAAATTGTCTGTGTTATTTTGGACATGTAAAGAGGAAGGATGAAACGCACATTGATGGAGAGGTAGAGAAAGACCGAAGGAAACATCGATAGACTGTGTGAGGCAGGAGTCAGGACATGAAAAAGAAAGAGGTAAATGATGAGGTGACGAGTAATAGGGGAGAGTGGTACAGGAAGACTTACTGCGCCAACTGCAAGTAATTTAGGAAATGGGCAGGATGATAAGATGATGATATAGAGTTAAAAATGATATTTTAAAGAAGGCTGATCCTGTTGATACAGTAACTGTCTATTACTATTAACTGAGTAATATTATTTTTATTAGTCCCGATATTGATTATTAAAAAAATGTTCTTTTTTAAAATCACTTTAAAAGAAATAAAAAAGTAAACTAAATAACATAATGACTTTAAACAATAATAAGATTTAATAGCAGAAAAAGGTAACTTATATCCTCCTTAGTCACGGCCGTCCTGCTATTCACACGCCCTCGGGTGATCTTGTGGGGCATTTACCACCGCTATTTCCTCTCACACGGCTGTCCTGCTGTTCACGCGCCCTCGTGTGATGTTGAAAATCGAGTTGTATCGTCTCTTTAGAAAAAGTAACATTCGTTCGGCTAATCCTGACTAAATAACTGACCACAGTGGCCAATCTTACTAAAACTAGCCATCGATGCAGTAAATATTTAGTTAAAAGTAAAAGTGTACGCACAGATAGACACAGACATTTGGGTATTTTTTAGCCTTATATGTGAACGATAAACATAGTGATTCACGTTATACTTTACTCATTCTCTCTAAGTAGTTTATTTTAGAGCAAATTTCTTAAAACTTATTTTTAAACTGGCTAACACCTAAAAAACGATACACACGAAGCTACGAGTATCATTGTGTAAAAATTACAGAAAATCTCAATGAGTACAAATTACAGAGTATCTCGTATGTCAATCAAGTTGGTGCCAAACAGGCCACTACTCCGGCGACTCTCGCCACTAAAACTACATTTGCCACATAGGCTAGTCAATGTTACATTACCTCGTCAATTCAGTCATCCTAGCTTGTGCTACGTAGGTTCATGCTGCTAGATATTATTGGAAATAACTACAAACACAACAGTCTTTAACGGTACATTCTGAGATCACTTGCCTCACACATCTAAACAAAACGGAAATATCTCACTATATAACATTCATATTAAATTAAATGAAACAATCCACCGATATCCAATTTTTTTCCACAGCCCAAGCATCTCCACATCATGTTCAGGGTTTGTATTGATGGAAGGCAAGTATTAAAGGTATTCCTTACATACTGATTAGCTTTTATAGAGTAAAAGTTTATTGTTAGAGCAGAGGTTCGTAAGGCAGTTGAATATTTCGCAGGACTAACTTTGCCTGATGTAGCATTCATGACTTGACGTTTAATAATCTCTGTACTCTGAAGACCAATAGCAGCTAATATGTATGAGTTTTCTTGTGAAATTAGTTGTTTTTTTCCAATTCTCCTAGAAGCTTCCTTAACGATTGCACTTTTCGCTTTAACATGCGGTTTGCGTCTCTTAAACGTTTTAATGCAACATTTTTTTTCTTAACTTTTTGTGTAAGATCAATGACTGCCCTGTAAAGTCGCCGTTCACTCGGTGTACTGTAGTTAGATGGTATGCTTAGAAATGAATCAACATTAGTATTTTGCTGTGCGACCGGTGTTAATGTGTCTCGATTTACAGTTTCAGATTCCGCATAAGTTGATGGCATGGCGGGAATGTTTTGAACACTACCCTGTCAATAGAATAAAGAAACATATCAATTAGATATAGATAAAAAACATATAATCATTATACCTAATGGTTACAAGGCTTAGTACTTTGGAGTAATATAAATAACTTAAATACGTACATTCAACGAAATATATGTTGCATTAACACTAGAAGTTGGCTGAGTAGCCAGTACAATTATTTTTTGGTTTGAAGTTACGGGTTTTGACGAAGTAGATGCCTCCGCGAGATTTTGATGACTCTCCTTAAAGAAAAAAAGTAATCTGTAATTTATTTAATTTGACCAAATTAAAACATGTGCGAAATAAATATGGTTAATAACATACCAAACATGGTAACATTAGTGTAGGCACGGCAGTTTCGAATAGAAAACGACGATTTTCTCTAATAACACGAAAACAATCCTGAGTGAAATGACGAGAACAAATTACGTGGTTTTTTCCAGGAAACCAATTGCCATCCCGTTTTGTAGCGTTAATCCATTTTTGTTTTATTTTAGGACACTTGGGAAACCTTAAAAAAAACAAAGTAAGAAAACAAATTAAATAAATGGGATAACATACGTTCGAAGTCCTCGTGATGAGACTTTTCATTTGATTTACCAATATGGTCGTAGGGAAGCAAAAAGGTTTTTTTTCAATTTGAACATTTATGACATCTAACGTCAGCATCATCATTCTGCTAAAGTCGGTCAAAAGAATTAGGAGAGAACATACCTCCATACCTCATTCATACATACTTACATAAGGACTAACATATTACCCTCCCTTTAGTAGTCGGGAAAAAACAACAGACAGATAACATTAGACTGCTGTACGAATATCAAGTCTTAATATATGTTTTTCGATAAACGTAATTTTTATGTTTACATTGTGTCTCGTCACTAGTTTACACGTGCTAATGATAGAGCAAGATAATGTTATGTGAATTTATCTACGAAAAATGGGATGTGAAAAAACTAAAAAGACACAGACGCGAGCTCTTTTTATATTTTATTTCTGGGTAATTAATTTTTTTTTCAATTCAATGATTAATGATGGAATAATGACTTACCTGTGAAATGTAATACCATCTTTGGTGAGACTAGACGTTGTACTACACTTTCCACACCATTTCACTGAACAATACGGCATTATAACTAGTAACTCGGACAATGTTATCGCTGTGACTCTCGGCGGCGGACTAAGTAACGTAAAGGGGCGGGGCCGGCTGTCATGCAGTGTCACTGCCAAACGTTGGCTAAAGCATATCCCCAGTAACGCGTCGTCTTTAGGTTGTATTGTCTATGGTTGCATAATATAAAATTAAAACTTACAAATAATTAAACTTTTATCCAGATCGAATTAATAGTCACTATTATTTTGTACCTACCACTCTTTCAATCATAATTCATGAAGATCATAATATGCATTTTGACCTTTATAAGCCAGAACACATTAACTGGTGGTTAAATCTGGTTGGAATATTCTATTTTCGATATGTTAAAATGTTAATGGATATGGTTTTGTAATATAATTATCACAATTGTTAAACAACTTTATTAATTACCAACATTATTTAGTGTTGCTATTATTATATTATGTATAGCCATAAAGAATATTAAAAATTAAAAATATTAATTATTTATCTAAGCCACATAATATTGTTTTATGTATAATTTAAAAAAAGTTAAAATATTAATTTAGATTGCTATTATTTAAAGATAAAATATTGAGCAACACTATTGCTTTATAGACAACCTTTATAGACAAAAAATAAATATTATTAAGAATTACTGTAATTATTGCGATTCTTCGTAGGTTGCTCCCGTAGAGCGATCATTCATTTATAGTTTTAATTCCACGTGATAGCTGCGGTTACGCAGACATTCGTCAAATACTAGATTGGTCAAAACCTAAATTTGTCAAAATTTACTTCATTTGTCAAATTGTAAACTAAAATTACCGCTCAAACTCATTCGTGTCTTCCTCACAATATGTGACATTAGAAGAATGTATTGCGTCTGTTAACGCAACTGTAAGCCTAAACTAAAGAAGAAAAAAAAAGTCACATCAGTATGAAAAAGCACCCTCCTTTTACAAATTAAGTTGAATCGTAATAGACAATTACAATTCATTTCGATTGGTACTCATAACTTTTAGGGAATCATGATTCTGAACGAACGGAAAATGTCAATTTGTCACTTGACAGGCGACAGCGACATTGTGACATTACCTAATTTTATTTGATTTTGACAAATGACTTTCTCAAAGAAGCGCTTGCTTTGTTTATAATTTATCTAAAGTCTATCATACTCATAGTTTTAATATGTATGATCAATACTGAATAAAAAAATCACGTATAACAAAATGCTACCTGGCATAGGTGTGTTTGGGACGGGATCAGTGGCGAAAGTTTTAGTGCCGTTTTTAAGAGAAAAAGGATTTCCAGTGGAAGCAATATGGGGTGTAACAATTCAAGAAGCCGAAAGTACATCAAAAGAGCTTAAAATCCCCTTTTTCACAAATAAAATAGATGATGTTTTATTGAAAAAGAATGTAAGCCTCGTATTTATTGTTTGTGCGCCTAATTTACATGCACAAATATCTGTGAAAGCACTTGGGATAGGAAAACATGTTGTATGTGATAAGCCTGCTGGACTTTGTCAAGCAGAAGCACTAAAAATGGTCCGAGCAGCTCAGTATTATCCTACTTTAATATCTATAATCAATCACTCCCTGAGATTTCTTCCAGCATTTAGCCATATGAGAAAAAGTATTGTTGATGGTTATCTAGGTAACCCAAATGAGCTAACACTTATTGATGTAAGAGTACAAATGGGATCTTTACTTGGTGAAACCTATAATTGGTTATGTGATGACACTATGGGTGGTGGCACTCTTACATTGGTTGGCAGTCATGTCATAGACCTAGTTTCTTATCTTAGTGGTCAAAAAGTTATGAAAGTGCATGGTGTTTTAAGAACATTTGTAGAAGAGACAGCAAAAGTAAATGGTATTAGAAGAATTACTGCACCAGATTTTTGTACATTTCAATTACAAATGGAAAAAGGCTTACTGGTGACAGCAACACTAAATAATCATTTACCAGGCCCATGTTTTAATCAAGAAATTTATGTATATAGTAAAAAAGGTTATCTTGTAGTTAGAGGGGGAGACTTACATGGAAAATTGCATAAGACAAATGCAAAAAATATAGAAGAAGATAGTAAAAGAAATCATGACAAAGAAGAAGTCATTTATGTAGATATTGAAGACCTTAGTTGTGCATCAAGTGTAATTCCCAAGCCTTATATAAAAGGACTTTGTAAAATGATTAGTGCACTTAAAGAAGCGTTCTTGCCTGTTAAAGAACAAATGGATTGGATAAAAGAACCAGTAAGAGCTGCAGCTACCTTTGAGGATGGTCAGAGAGTTCAAGCAACAATGGAAGCTTTAAGACAATCAAGTGAAGATGGTTGTTGGAAAACGGTACAGCTTTTGACAGAACCACCAGATCCAAACCCAGCTTTATCTGCAGCAGTTCGACGTACAGCCATATCGTTACAATAACTTTGCATACAAATTACTTACACGTATTTGCCATCTTTATGTACCTAAAATTTTAAACTTAAGTGTGTGCATATTTTATCTTAATTAATATAAGTTAATTTGATATAGATATTTCTAAATCTGCTTATAATACTACTAGAAATAACAAAGTTTTAAAAGAAAACTTTATCAATAGAAGTTACTAGATATTGAATCATTTGCTTTGCCAATAATATAGTATTTTTTTAGCAGAATAAATTTCAATATCTCTACAATTTTGTATGACATTTTAAAATCAGTGTATTTTTTCTAATATGAAATAATAGTTATTGCTAGTAAAATTGGGATCATGTAAAATTAGCTACCATTGTTCTATGTAGTATTTTGTATTTTGATATTTGTCTTTAGTACTTGTATACACTTTTTTTAGATTTTTATAATGCTCGTAATTCAATATCTAGTAATTTACTGTCGAGTACTTGTTTACTATACCATTTGCAATGTTAAAAGAAAATTATAAATTCTATATTATAAAAGGAGTCCACCAAGAATGAATTATTTATTTGTATATTACTAAGCAATTAAAATCATTTCATTAATTCACCAAACAGATTATCTATTATTACCAGTCATGTTATATTAGGTTTTATTAAGTATTCTTTATTCTACATTTTCATTAAACCAACTAAAGCAGTATTATGAATACAGAGAAAATTTTGTTACATTGCCATAACATTATATAATAAGTTTATTAATGCTATACCTCCTAAAATGTGAATTCAATTAATGTTTTTCTTTGGAAATAATATGTAGCATTATTATATTATAATTCAGGCAATTGTTATACAAATTTTGTTTGATTTCAATGCTATTAGACTATTGATAATTAGTATACTGTATAAATAAAACCTGCTTAAATATATTTTAAGAATTTTGCGTTTTTGTTCCCTCAAAATTTTCTAGAACATGAAACTTCAATAGCTATACTATAGGTATTAATGTATATATACTAAGTGACATAACCTCTTAGGTGAGTGAAGCAATTATTCTGAAACTTAGTGTAATAATAGAATTTTGCGTTATGTATAAGGATAAATTAGGAAAGTAATACAACTGGTTTTATAACAATGTTATAATAAATGCAAAGATAACAGCATGCTCCACAGCATTAAACATATTACACAATCACATCATGTTTATACACTATCAACGGAACTAACCAAATAATTCGAAACCGGGGAACTAAAACTAGCACTAAAATTAATTTTCTATTTTCGCTAAAATATCAGATTCTCTGAAGAGATGGTATTCCTTCTCATCATTTTCTAGGCTAACTTTGGTGCCGCCGTATTCCGGTAGAAGAACTTTGTCACCAACTTTAACAAGGACGGGGATGAATTCTCCATTGTCTTTTCTAGCGCCAGAACCAACTGCGACTACTTCACCATGAAGCACCTTTGACTGGGCCTTCTCTGGAATTACAATACCTCCCGCTGTCTTCGATACCGCCTCGGCTCTCTTAATAAGCACACGGTCGAGCAAAGGCACTAGTTTTTTCATTGCATTGGCCATTTTCTACTTAATTTTTGTGCACTTTTCAGTCAAGAAGTTAGACAAATGAACAAGAGTTTCTGGTTAGTTTGCAATCTTGAAATCTAGAATATTCGTGATCACTAATCTCTGATTCTCTACCGGCGAGTGGCGACCGACACGAATTTTACCGAAGGTACAATTTCCATGTGTTTTTAGTGTTACCACTTACCAGCTAGCGTTATAATTATATTTGTAATAGTTAAAATATGTAAGCTTTATTAAAAATAATAAATTAAAAAATACTTAATAATTTATCCAAAAAATATTTTGAATTTTTTATTTTAGTATTTTATCACTTTTTATTATGATTTAAGATTTTTTCAATCAGTTGACCAATATAGTGACATCTGTTGCCGAGTAGTTAAAGTAAATACCAACATAGTTAGAAAATGTAACCATAGATGTCACTTTAATGCGATTTTTATTTTATCCTATACATACATAGATGTCGCTAATCTAGCTGTGTTTTAAAAATTAACATAATTTAAGTTAAAGAAATACATAGATAAAATAAATAAAATTAAATAAATAAAAATATAAATACATATTAAATTGTGAATATATATTTTAAATTTTAATATTTGTTATAATAGATATATGACTACTATTTTTAAAGCAAAACAATAGATCTTTATATTATAAAATATTCCGCTTTATATACATACCTAAGCCATATTAAAAATATTAAAATATTAATTAATTATGAATTCTATTTAAAAGTTATACAAAATTATGTTTTATACCTAATATCTATTGTTGTCTATTCGAATTTAAAGAAGAAAAAAGATTTTTTATGAATAGTACATAAATTATAATATTATAAGTCTATCTAGGTATACCTTTGTAATTTGCATCGATTATTAAATTCTTTTAATAATTATAGAGTCGCAGCTCTAGTTGTATTGTAAGCGAGCGAACATAAAAAGTATATTATGCCCGCCTTTGTTCAGCGCTTCAAGCGTGAAAAGGTAATAAACAAAGAGACAGACATACTTTCACGTTTATATTATTAGTAATAAAGAATAATTAATAAAACAATAAGTTTCATTAATATCATCGTGTCTATGCACTAATGTCCGCAATCAAGTAGACAAGTACGGACACGGCGCCGTGACCGTCGCAGGAATGTGCGCCGGCGCCGGCCAGTCTCGGACACACCTGCGCGCGAAGCATTCACACACACACGAGTCTACCAACTCACGCTCGGACCTTAGTGTCTGTACTAGGCCTGTGCTATTTCTACAATTTATATATCGATAAATATCTCATTTTTGTATCATCAAACGATATATTTTTGATTAAAGAACATAAGAGTAGTTCATTATCTTACTGCGGTTGTCGTTTAAAATTTATAGTAGACGAATAATAAAAAATATATTATAGATACAAAAATCTACTTTTGAACACTATATTTTTATTTTAAAGCCAGACTGAATTCAAATATGACCAATGTTTTTGATATTATATAGGTAATTGCTTAAATAAAAGAAATAAGATATTTAATGAATAGATAGATTCCCTTTCATTAAATATAAAAAGCTTAGCGAGATATCGTGTATGTACTATAATATACTAAATATGTGAATATTAAATTCTTATTCACACCAATACCACACGTATAATATTTTAATATTTTTATCCGTCTCTACGACGATTTAATCTCCTCCCTATCGCAATATGATATACATACGAAGTATGCCTACATCGCCAATACAATAGCTATGTTATGCGTCGCGATTTATGATCGCCTCCACGCCCTCGCGGTCACATAAAAGTACCACCGCCATTGATTCCGCGTACACTTTGACAGCTCTTGAATATGTAATTGACTCTTATTCATTGTTATCTGAATTCGGGTATCGCAAAAAAGATTAATCATTATAATAACTCGTCTCTATATTGGTCTTGTAACCCAAACCAGAATAATTATGATGGTGCAAAAAAATTACAATGAAAAACCTTTTTTTTTATACCTATCGGTTGCCTTTACGTAAGTACATATATAGGTACTAGGTATTCTTGCTGACCTTAAAAATATATCATTACTAGAGTTTGTTTGCCATTCCGCTTGTCTATTTTATTTATGTAGTAGCGACTCACCCTTGTTTCGCTCGGGTTCGCCTCTAGAAAAACAAAAACAAACCTATCCCACGGGAACCGTACATTTTTCCGAGTTAAAAAGTAACTTAAGTGTTATTCTGACGCATTAACTATATTATTGTAAAGTTTAATTAAAATCCATTCAGTAGTTTTTGTAGGAAAGAGTAACTAGCATCCAAACATATATACATCCATACATCCTCACAAACTCTCCCGTTTATACCTAATAGTAGTATGATGGGAGCTATTTCTATGAGGGTTACAAAACCAGTAGCTAGTACATTTTACTCTGTAGTTCTACCTGACATTTTTTGTTTTTACATAGCATAATAATTCACCATCTGTAGTAGACAGACCTACAAAAATATTAAATTACTAATTTGGTGCAGGAGTGATACCAAACTATATAATAACTCTTTCAATACTAACGTAACGTAACGTGATTTTGATTATCACATTTGTAATATATATTTAAGAAATCAAAATACATATAAAATATTGATAAATGTAGAGCGTTTTTCTCTCACATATTTTACGAATTAGTATTTATATGATTACAGGTAAATTTACAATAAGGGTCCAATCACAGCACGTCCAAAAGGTATTTTGAATCAATAAATCGAATTGAATAGGCTTTAAAAAGGCTTTTTATAGTCGGGAAAAACGTAAAAAGGTTCTGTGATCGGGTTCACACGGTCACTTGCGAGGCCAAATTTTGCAAACATCTCACGTGTTCGGCTGTAGAGATACCATAATATAGGTTGGGCCACACAGGACTATTGCTATAATTAACATTATATTAAACTGGTATTCCTATAACAATTGATTTATCTTCAAATTTAAATTATTTATGTAATGATACAATGTGAATGATATTGTCGCAGGACATTGTAAAATTCTTAACTTATATTTATTCTTACTTATGCACATAATGTTAATATGAAAACTCTATGTATGAGTCCTAAGGAGTATATTTGACAAAGTTAAAATTTTAACTTTGTATATTAAGGTATTTCCATTTAAACGTCATAAGAGAAAAGTCTTTATTCATACTTCAAATCATGGCCACTGTATAAAGTAAAAAGTTGCGATAATAGACTTACGCGGATGTTCAAAGCGTACAAAATAACACAACAAACACCGCAAAACACCTGATAGAGCTTTATATGTATACGACTTCCCTCTTATTACTTTTTTCTAAACATTCTTGATCTTTGAATTAAGGGAATAAGATTGAAAATCATGTTATTCTTTGATTCTTGTCCGCAAAATTAATGTTGTTTTTTGTGTGGAAGAGACCGTGGTTGGTTCTCACGACGGCCGCACACAGGTGCGCATCCGGCTATCTCAGTCCTACTGGGATTTGAATCATTTTAGTGCGCTCTAATTATGTTCGTGAAACAACGGCTTGGAATTTATGAAAGAAAAATGAATCAGCCACGAGACGTTTGCTAACACACTGTCACCAAGGGTTAAATTAATGCAGGCGTATTATATCCGAATAAAGGGTAGGTAGGTGTAGTATTTTATTAAGGACGTTTAGTACGGGAAAGAAATTGTTTGGAGGATGAATCCGTATTGATATATTAATATACTAGCAGAACCCGCGGCTTCGCTCGCGCTAAATCTACAAAAAGAACTAAAAAGATAGGTTTCATACAAACTTTCGTCCCGTATTTTACCCCCTTATGAGATGAATGTAGAAAAATGCTAAAACATATTTATTTAATTGTATTGAAGAGCATATTTAATACCAAGTTTCAAGTAATTCTGATCATAAATAATTTTTTGGGTTGTATTACAACGTGTTTTCCCGTGGGAATGAGATAATCTCCCGCGATAAAAAGTAGCCTATGTTAACTCTTCAGCCCTCCAACTACCTCTACACAAAAAATCACGCTAATCCGTCACTCCGTTTCGACGTTAAAGAAGGACAAACAAACAAAAAAACAAACAAACACACTTTTACATTTATAATATTAGTATGGATTATATAAATTAATTACTAATATTGTAAATGTGAGTTTGTGAATATGTATGCATGTTTGTAACTCTTTCACGCCAGAACGGTTGAACGGATCTGGATGAAATTTGGCACAGAGATAGATTAAAGTCTGGAATAACACATAGGCTACTTTTTATCCCGAAAAATGTATGGCTTCCGTGGAATAGGTTAGTTTTAGTTTTCCTAGAGGTGAACCCGAGCGAAGCGAAGGTGAGCCGCTAGTAAATCATAGTTTTTAATGTAATTTAATACTTACAACTATAAGGTTACAATTATGTATGTACATATATGTAGAGCATGTCAAAATTATTTTTATTAACACAATGATAAAAAATCTTTATTTGACTATAATTTGCTCTCGCGTGGTCCATAAGAAACTTTTTACCCGACTGCGGCAAAGTCCATATATTATACTTTGATTATTTACTGACTATACAAATTACTTACTGAGTAGGTATACATAAGCATGGTATTCGACTTGTACCAATTTTGAACGTTAACGGCTATTATAGCATATACTTTAAAATTAAAATAAACTTGGAGTTAAATAAAACCCAAAATATTACTCCAGTGTCATACAAACAAAATATTTATTTTCGTTGCATTTAATATAATTAATTCCATCAGTCAGCACCGACAGACAGTAACATTATTTAAAATATTTAGTATTATAATAACATGTTATACGTTTTTTTAAATATATTTGTAAAAGATTGTCGAATTGTCTGTGATTATTCTTGTTGAATGGTTTTTTATCGGCGCTACACATATTTTTTGGTCTGTGCTAAGCTCTCACTGCACTCTGTGTCTACTGTCTAGTTCTACAACTGTCTGTGGTTCTATTTGGCAACACTAAAAGGGTGAAGGACGAAGGCGGTGTAATTTAATTTTCAAAATTCTTTACCCGGTAAAACAATATCTTTTTAACTTTATTATTTTTATGTATTTATAGTGTCAGTTTACTTATTTAAATTCGTTGTAATCTTTTATAGATATTTAAAAAGACGTTCACAGTTCAGTAACATGACGACTAACCCTATAGTGAAAGTAAAACAAGGTCAATTATCAGGAAAAGCTTGTAAGACTATAAGTGACAAACAATATTTTGCTTTCAAAGGCATACCGTATGCAAAACCACCGATTGGAGAATTAAGATTCGCTGTAAGTAATTTAATAACAATTTTTATACTTCCTGTCTTTAGTACTTCCTAGTAGACAGCTTTGGTGTTTATAAATATCCTTGTTTCATGTACATTCATTTTATGTCATCTGTTTAGCCAATATTGGTTGAAACTATAATTGAGAATGCTTAGAGGTTTCACTGGCTAGGTAATTATACTAATATCTAACTAGATTTTATTAACATATAGCACCATCTAGTTTGATGGTAAGCTAGGCTTGTGTTCTGGATACCAGATAGTTGGTACACTACATATACATAACTTTAAATACATACATATTATAAATGTACTTTATTCAAATAGACTTAAATAAGCACTTGAATCGTCACCTTTAACATTTTTAAAATTTGAATTAAATATCATTATATAAGTCCTTGAGGAATCTACCACCACCTTTTACAATTACTATATCTTGAAATTAATAAGTGTACTCATCTTATATGCACATAGCTGTTAAATATAAATATAAGCTAGCTATATATAGCTCAGCTAAGTAAATCTAATAAGGAGAATGAGATAAGTCTCAACACTCAATAATTTTTAATTTGTAATCTGTTATTATATATTTAAAATAAATAGAAGAATCTCAACAGTTCCAAATGCATTACACTTAATAGCAGTTATGGAAGAGACAAAGGTGTCTCAAAGGTCATTATTATAGTTGTTACAACCAATACCCATACAATATTTGTTAATTTTAATTATTTTTTATAGTATCAATAAGTTCTACAATTGAATCTGGAATATATTTCTTTAATTGCTATTATTATAATAGCAATAAATATTTAAAAACTAAAAGAATTTAAAATATTGAGCAATATTGCTACAATAATATTATTGTCCTGTGCATAATTTAAAAAGATTTGAAATTAAGAAATATTAATTGGGTTCTCTATTATTTTGATCTATACGGTAAGAACTAACTACATCTAAATGTTTATTATGCGTAGTTTTGATATTTGATTTTGTTTTCTTGTATAAAAGTGAATATATTTGCTTTTAGGCTCCAGAAGCTCCAGAACCATGGGAAGGTATAAGAGACGGTACAAAGGAATGCAACATCTGTGCCCAATTCGAAAAAGAAACTTTACAGGTAGTGGGCGATGAGGACTGCTTATACTTGAATGTCTATACACCAAGCCTTCCAAATTCAGATGGACCTTCACTACCTGTTATGGTGTTTGTCCATGGAGGTGGTTTTTTGTTTGGCAATGGTACAGAGGATAGTAAACATGGACCTGATCACCTTATTGAAAAGGATGTTGTATTAGTTAGCTTGAACTACAGATTAGGTATTCTTGGATTTCTGTCATTGGATTGTAAAGAAGCACAAGGAAATATGGGATTAAAAGATCAAGTATTTGCATTGAAGTGGATACAACAGAACATAAAGAATTTCAATGGAGATTCTAATAATGTGACTATTTTTGGTGTCAGTGCTGGTGGAGCGTCGGTAGAATATCTTATGATTTCACCTATGGCTAAAGGACTGTTTCACAAGGCGATTGCACAATCTGGTTCCTCTTTACTTCACTGGGCACAAAATAATAAAATTAAAGAAGTAGCCTCAAAAATACCTATTATTAAAAAGAAAATGATAGGTGGTACTAAAGATTTGTTAAAATATTTGAAAGATATGCCATGTAAGGACTTGATTGAGGCTTCCATGACTGTTCTGGCTCTCAGTAAATTTCGTGGTGGTTTGAACTTTTGTTTTGTTCCAAGTATTGAAAAAGACGGTGATTGGGAACCTTTTGTTAATAAATGTACTTACGATTCATTGCTTCATGGTCATTTTACTAAAGTACCATATATGGCTGGTTATTGCACCCGTGAAGGTCTTTTATTAGTATCATTGGCTTATTCTGCTATAGAGAAACTAGTTAAAGAAAAGGATTTCCTCTCATATTTGCCATTCGAAATTGATGAAACTGAGAAAGTCGAAGTGGAAACTAAATTAAAAAATATTTATTTGGAAGGAGAAAATAACTATACTGAAGCAGACGCATTTGCGATTGATTTCTTTAGTGATGTCGACTTTATAGGGGGCATTTATGTTTCTACTTTATTGGTGGCTAAACACAATTCGCCTGTATATTTTTACGAATTTAAATATGACGGTGGTTTGAATTATTTGAAAAGAAAGCTAAATATTGACAGAGAAGGTGCTTGCCATGGGGATGAAGGAGGTTACCTAATAAAGTGCCAGATTCTGGACGATGTCAATCTTTCTGATACAGACAAGTTAGTTCTGGATAGAATGTGCCAAATGTGGACTAACTTTGCCAAATATGGGTAAGTAGTAATATATTTTTTACCTCCGTACGCGGATTTTGTTCACAATTTCATAGGGTTTATTTATTTTTTCACCAAAATTCTTTTTCTAAAATAAAAGTAGCATAAGTTACTCCTTATAATATCAGCTATCTGCCAGTGAAAATCCTATCAAAGTCGTTCCAGCTGTTTTTGAAATTAGCTGGAACAAACAGACAGGCAGACAGACAAAAATTTTAAAAATTGTTTTTTTTTCTTATAGGTACCATATACTTTCATATGCATTTAGTAAAAAGCTGTTATTTTGATATTACAAACAGACACTTCAATTTTATTTTTTTATATAGATTATTCATTGTTTACACAATATTTGTTTGTGATTCTAATATACCTATTCATTACAGGGACCCTACACCTAAAATTGATAATGTCATAGACACTACATGGGAGCCTATAGCGGAAACTGGAATGGCGTATTTAGAAATAGATGATAAACTCACTATGAAACATGAAATGAATACAGAAAGAATGAAGTTTTTTAAAGAACTTTATGAAAAATATTACAAATCAACTTTTGATGCCTGTTAAAATATATTAACGAAGAGAGTGGTAGTGGTGGTTTTTTATATGTTACACATGGAAATTAATTGTACAAAACAGATTTTTAAAATTGTTATTATACTATTTACACAGCATAAATTATATTTTATTTTTGATATTTTTCATAAATATCCTTAAATACAGCCATCTTTTTAGGTTCATAGTTGTATCTGATGCTGAAGTCTTCACCGATACTGAGATATGCTGGTGACTCATTTTTATATTCGGGCCATTCAATAGACAGTTTTTCATTGTTAGGTATAGGCTTGCTAGGAAAGAAACATGTGAATTATTCTTAAATAAATTATACTTTAAAAAAATAAAAAAAAAAACTTTTAAATATGAACCGAATTAAAAAGTAAAAAATAATTTTTAGTATTAGAATAAAATGATTACCGAGAACTACTTACGTAGGGTTACTACAAATTGAGCCAAACGTGTCGTCGAACCTACGAACTAGCCTTAGACTTCGGAATAGGACACTAAACAACAAATTAAAAATCTACCAGTTCTCTATTTCAACGCTATCGGTTTTAAATTCAAAAAGAAAAACCTTAAAGTAAAAATTGCTTACCACATTTTTGCAAAATTCGTCCACATTAGAGCAAGATTAGCTGTTGTTTCTGCATCCTTGCCGTCACAAAATTTTGAATTTGCGCTCTGTTTAAAAATATATCCAATATCATCCCCATGAGCTGCGCCTTTTCTCATTAAACCAAACATTATTTTGGTTGCATTCATTTTCCCGTCGTAATTAAATTCGTAAAAATATACTGGTACACCTTTACTTGCTATTATTTGCCCACTTATCCAAATTCCTGATACAAAATCGAGATCGCCGAAAAATTCTACTGCAATTTTGTCCTTATCATCATCATGGGTATTCTCTTCTTCGTAAGCGTTCAGAATATTTGAATTGAAGTGAGTCTTGTCACCTTCATCGAGCGAATAGGACCAATGTTTAGTAAAATCTTTGTTTTCAATCAAATCAAGAACGATTTTTGGCTTCAGGATATTCATTATGTAGCCTTCCTTGTTGCAGAATCCTTTTATCACTGGGACTCTATTAAATCTCCCTTCTTTAAATAATTTGTAAGGACTTTCAGTTATGAATGCTTCACCATTACCAAAATCCGTCTCAATAGTCGGTACAAATCCGAAACACAGTCTGTTAGAATCATAATTTTCAATAACCTTGAAACTAGAATATAATAAGTTGTCTAAAGGACTGGCAAGTAAATATTCGTATATATCACCATTGTTATCCATGGGACCTGTGTACCCCATTTGCTCGAGAAGCTTAACTAATATTTTCTTGGGTTCATAATTTATTGCCCAATGATTAAGACTAGAGCCAGACTGAAGTATAGCCTTGTGAAATAGCCCTTTTGATTGCGATGATAAAAGTAGGTAATCAACTGAAGCTGACCCCGCACTTAATCCAAAAATTGTTATGTTATTGCGATCTCCACCAAACTTTCCTATGTTTTCTTGCACCCATTTAAGTGCAAAAACCTGATCTTTTAAACCCATATTACCACTTGCTTCTGGAATGTCCAGTGATAAGAAACCTATCACTCCCAATCTATAGTTGATAGTTACAACGACCACATTGTGTCCTATTATGTAATCTGGACCCAATTCCTGCTTTATTATACCACTGCCGAAAATAAAGCCTCCACCATGAATGTAAACCATTACCGGTAATAAATTAGAATTTGCATCAGGCAAGTGCGGGGTATAGACGTTTAGGTAAAGGCAATCCTCGGATCCTACAGATATTCCTTTTCTAATATCCATTTGACAGCAAACGTTGCTTTCACAAACCGTTGTAGCATCTCTTTCACCAATCCATGGCTCTGGAGTCTGGGGACCCTGTAATTATTTTTATTAAATTGCTCTTTATTAAATTAACGTTGTTAAAATTGACAATTATTAAAATACTAGCATTGCCCGCGGCTCCGCTCGAGTTCAGATGACCAAAAACCAAATTCTTAGGTTTTACATATTAGTATGTATACTCTTACATTGCAGTTTTCGCATTTTTTCTTAGAAATGAGATATTTTTCCGAGGTAAAAAGTATCCTATATGTTGACCCGGATAACCATCACCCATGGACGAATTAGAGACTAATTCGTTCATGCCATCACCATACCAAATTTCATCAAAATCCCTCCAGTGGTTTTTCTGTGATGCAGTAACAGTCAGACAAACAGACAAAAATTCTAAAATCTATAGATTTGGCCTCTGTATCGATAATAATGTTTATTTCAATAAGATTTTCCAAAAAATATTTAATGTACAGATTCGGCTTAGTTACAATTTTATTATATGTGTAGATAATGTAACTAGCGGCTCCGTACATTTTTCCGGGACATAAAATAGCCTATATGTTATTCCAGACTATAATCTATCTCTGTGCCAAATTTCATCCAGATCCGTTCAGCCGTTCTGGCGTGAAAATAACAAATACCATGCATACTCACAAACTTTCACATTTATAATATTAAAAATACGAATATTACCTACGGAGATTAAATACGGATATTCTAATTTTCTTAATAACGAAATAGTTATGTTTATATATATAGGCACATAATTAACTTGACATAATTATGTTGTTATTATGAACGAAATACCTTTGTATTTTTTTTATTAGAATGTACAAATATATTTATAATTATTGTTAGTGCTTTACTCACTTTAAACCTTAAGTTTCCAAGAGGTGGTTTCGCGTAAGGGATGCCCAAGAATTCGTAATATGGTGTTCCATTATCACTAACTGCTTTGCCACCCTTTAATTTTCCCTGACTTAAAGTTACGGTAGCCATTTTAAATCAAATATTAACGTCAACTGTACTGGAAAAACGTGATATCTATATGAACTCAATGAATAGATAAAAGCAAGATACGAAAATCACTGCTTAGTCTCTATGCATATTATTTATTACGTGTGGGTACTTATTATTGAGTGTTGTATTCGTATATGTGTATCTTACACATATATACATTATAAACTATACTTATTATAAAGCAGCAATTTAGGGAATTCTGTTCATTAAATACTTTTAAAAACAATGACTGTAACGCATTATGTACACAAAATAGACCCCAAAACAATAGTTATTAAAATTTTTCTCTATAGGTCTGTTTGTGTGTGCGCGTTTCATGCAAAAAGTAATGAATCGATTTCAACGAAATTTGGTGAAGTGATAACTTATTACTCGGGTCAACATTAAATGCAAAAGTAACTTCTTCTGTCTGTCTGTCCGTCACTTTTTTTACGCTTAATCTGCTGAACAATGGAATTCTCTTTTTCATTTGTTTTCCTGCTTCTATATAATACAATTTACACTTTATATACAAATTGTTTAGACTTTCTTCATCCACTTCTCTTCTCTCTTCTTTCTCTTCATTATCACGTTTTATTGTGACCAGATTCGGTACCATCTATATTTCGTGTAACGATAAATGTTTTTATACGTCTGTGAAATCGAGACTCAATATTTTTTCTTCCTTCATATCTGAAAAGCCCTCGCTTCTCGTTTTTTTGTTACGGTGAAGTCTAAATATTTGTATATAACTAAGCACTCCAACAGTATTGCGTAAGCACTGAATATTTTCTCATATATTAAATATATTTTTGGTGTTTCCGGTTGCATTTCTTTGTTGAGTTCAGTAAATACGGGAAACGCAAATTTTGAAAATTCTAGATACAGCTCTGTCGTTGGTTCGAGGGGCTTGTTGAGAATTGCTTGAGTAAAAAGTAAGCGATCAACATGAACAGCGGCTTGAAAATATAATTTTATAGCTGGCATTTGTTCCAGGATCCTGTTAACCACCTATTACCGTACACGGAATTACCGTGCCATCTTCAATAGTATCATTGTAAGAAAATGATATTCAACTTGAAAATTATCGTCTACTATTAACAAAAATTAAATCATACAGACAACGCAAATGTTTAATAGTAGATTTCTCTGTATTCTCGTCAGCAAATAATGAAAATGTTATTGACTTTTAGTTTCTCTATCAGGTTTTCTACCGCAGTTAGTCCAGTAATATTTACGATAATTGCTCTTGCTTTTATCCTACTTACGGATAGCTTTTCTGCAATTTTCCAACCTGGACACACAGCGCATATTCATTTTGTCAAATAAGAATGAATGAATATATTTGTTTTTAATTGAATGAATATAATAAAAACGAATGAATTAATTGAGAAGTTGTGCTCAGCGATAAAACAAACCATCTTGATTTCGTCTATTATTGTTGTTTTTTTTTGGATCTTGTGATTTTTAAGTCCAGGCTAGCATCAATGTTATGATGTGTTGTTTTATATCATATATGTGTCTTGTTTTTTTTCTGAAATGAGTTTTATTATCCTAAACAACAATATTTACAAAAAAGTCCTATCGTGTGTCTGTCTGCCTGTGTATTTAATTGCTTTTTAAAAATATATACCTACCTACTGCGTTAAAGGGGCGGAGGCTAGTGCGTTTTTATGTCGATTACGACAGTGTTGATAACTATAATTTGTAAATTTCTTATTGATCTGTGATTATCATATTTAAAGATAGTGAGTTGATGCTGTAGGTCTTCAAATAATACACCCATACAATATTGTAATCCGAATTTAATCAACTAACAACATAAAACATTTTTTCCAGTAATTGACATTACAAGTGTCACAGACCATCTATGCCACAGATAAAACAAACTCTACATCCCTTTCTTCCTTTAGAGAAATTAAACATATCAAGTGTCTACCTATATTATTTAGGTGTGTATTTTAATAACAAATAATTATGATGGCTTATACATTATGCAAACACTGGATTAATCAATTAATATAAAAGAACAAGCATAATGTAATTTATGAGTTAAGGCTATTAAATTGAAATAATTATTACTTATTATTAATATTAAGCATTAATCTCAGTAGAAAGTCTTTGTATTTTGGTGGGGTGTGATGCACTCTCTTGGGCCTATTGGATTGTTCTTCTTTATCTAATGGCTGTTGGCTGTTCCTAGATACTTTGTCATCATTTAAGTAGGTATCCTTTGTTCCCAAAGGGTGATGGTTGTTCTCAGCTTCATCCAGGTCATTAGAGTTCATATCCGGTGTTCCTAACGTCCCAACATCTCTATCTAATACTTTCTGGAAGTGTGTAGAGTTTCTTTTTATAATTTTTCCGTCTTGTGATTGTGCTACCACCGCATTTCCCTTCTTCGATACAACTGTATGTTCTTCCGGTGAAAATAGTTTCGTTAATTTATTTTCTTTTCTTTGCTTGATTAGGATTTTATCACCTGTAGTTAAATCTGAAATTTGTGCATGCCTTCTTTTATCAGCATACTCTTTAGTTTGGTATTTTCTGTATCTGTCCATGTCTCTTACCTCTTCATCTATTTGGATTTACCTATCTATTTGGATGTCCAATCTCATCTGTGGTAATTTTGTTTTTATAACTCTTCCCTTAAAGAGATCGCCTGGGCATTGACCTGTGGTTGAGTGAGGTGTTGTTCTATATGCAGATAAATATGCTAAGAGTTCTTCTTTCCAATCAAGATGCATCGCTTGTGCGATTTGGAGTCTTCTCAATACGCTTCTATTTTGCCTCTCAACTTCACCATTGGCTTGGGGCCATAATGGTGTTGTATGTCTTAAATTTATTCCATTGGTTTTAAGGAATTTTTGGAAACGTTTGTCAATAAAAGCAGGTCCATTGTCACATACTATAGTATCCATAATACTTTTCTTGCAATAATATTAGTTAATACTTTGATTGTATTCTCTGCTGTGGGATTTTTGGTGATTACAACTTCATAATATTTACTGTAATAGTCCACAATGAACAGTAAATAATGTCCAGATGGTAATGGTCCTAAATAGTCAATTGCAACTTGCTCCCATATTTTGCTTGGTAGTTCAGTAGAATTAATTGGTTCTGGGCTGGTTTTTCTAACTAAGGTACATCCTTTACATGTGTCAATCCAATATTCAATGTCTTTGTCCATAGTTAACCACCACAATTTTTTTCGCAATTTAGCCTTCATACCATTTAATGATATGTGTCCTTCATGTCCGACTTCTAATACACTTTGTATCAAGCTCTTGGGTATAACTATTCTGTTTCTTCTGAGTACTATTTCGTCTATGATACATAATTCAGTCTTGATAACTTCATATTTTCGTAGATCCTTTGGCCATACATCATTTTCTATAGCTTCCTTTAGTTTAATTAACAGTTCATCCTGCAAAGTTGCTTCCTTTACTCGTTCTATAGATATTGCCGGGGTTGAAGTTTCTATTGATGCTAATAGGTGACTATCTTCCGCCTCATCATGACTTATTTTTGGAATATTATCTACCTTTAGTAATCTTGATAATGGCTATGTTGTTTTTCCCTGGTTTATAAATAACTTTAAAAGTGTATGGCTGTAGCCTAAGGACCCATCGTCGAATTCTAGCACTTGGTTTTGATTTGGGTGAGTATATTATTTCCAAAGGCTTGTGATCTGATATTATTGTAAAGTCCTTTCGAGATAGAGCTCTACTTGCATATTTTATAATGACTGGTTGCTTTATGTTGTCCGTAATTTGGTACTGGGTTAGGACAGCTGCAACGCCTACTGGGCTGGCATCAGTTATTAATATTGTTTGAGCATTTTTGTCATAGTATCCAAGTGCGGGAGCTGTTACTATTATATCTTTTAATGTTTGAAATGCCCTTTTGTGTTTGTCCTCCCAACTGTAATTTATATCTTTCTTGGTCAGCTGCCTTAGTGGCTCTGTTAAAGTGCTATAATTTGGTATAAATCGGGCTGAGAAATTTATAAGACCAAGAAAACTCCTCAATTCGCTCTTGTTAGTTGGTGCTCTAAATTCTTGTATGACTTGTTTGCTATTAGACGTCGGTTTTATGCCTGCAGCTGAGAGATGATGCCCCAAAAAATTAATATGTTGAACACCAAATACACACTTCTTTTTATTTAAAGTTATTCCATTTTCTTGTAATCTCTGCAAAACCATGTGTAGCCTTTGATCATGCTCCTCCTTTGTTCTTCCACCAATCCTTATGTCATCTTGGGAGTTATCTACGCCTTCAATTCCTTGTAGTAACTGAGCAATGATCCTTTGAAAAACTTCAGAAGCACACCGGATTCCAAAAAATAATCTTTTATATCCTAATAATCCTAGACTGCAACTAAATACAGTAATTATTCTGGAGCTGTCATCAAGCTCAATTTGGTGGTAGCCCTATTTGATGTCGATAGCTGAGAAATATTTACAACCATTAAGGTCAGCCAGTAGCTCTTCGAATGTTGGCATCGGGACATGTTCTCTTAAAACAGCTTCGTTGACTCGTCTCATGTCAATCACAAGCCGGTACTGTCCTTCTTTCTTTTTCTTGACAATGTGTGATGGAGAAACACATGGGGTTGGGCCGGTTACAGGCTCTATGATGTCATTATCAATTAACTCCTTAATTAGTTTTAATTCTATATCTCTAACATTGAATGGATGCCTGCGGACTGGCTGAGCTACTAAAGGTACATTGGGGTTAATGTGTAGCTTCAATTTGAATTTTTTTAGCTTTCCTACGCCATTAAATAACTGACTATACTGATCAATATACTATATACTATCAGCATTAGTATTCAAATTACAAATTACAGTATTAATTGGTCCTTTTCTTAACATATTCAAATCAATTGAGGTGTTTTTACTTAGTAAACATGGTCCTATGCCATCATATACAAGAATCTCAACATTGTTTAACTCAGTTTTAGTCATTGGACAATATACATCAATTTTAAATATGCCTAAATTAGGAATTTCCTTGCCACCATATGCATAAAACTTTAGATGTGTTTTAGTTAAATCACAACTAGAACCACTCTTCACTAGCTTTTTATAAAACTTTTTGTCAACTATGTTAATTGCCGCACCTGAATCAATTATAAAATAGGAGGGTATCTTATTTTGTCTTAATAATAGTTCACATTTATCAGTGCTACAGTCCACTTTGAACACACTATACACATTCTTCACATCTTGGTCAGTGGAGTCTTTGTTGCAGCTGTCGGAGTCTTCAGATTCAGTTTCCTCTCTCACTACATATCTAATACGCCTAATTTTCTTCTTCCATGCTTCCTTCTTTCCTTTCTTGGTTTTGCACACTTGTGCAAAGTGACCCCGCAAACCACACTTCTTGCATTCAGCATTGATGGCTGTACATGTAGGGCTGCTAGCTATGTGCCCTCGGCGGTCGCATCTATAGCACTTAGTTTCAATTGCATTTACACTATCCATGGGTTCAGGTATTGTTTCAGCAACAGGTTCTTGTATCTTTACCAATCTAGTGTAGTTCTCTAATTCATAAACTCGCGCCATATCTAACATTTCAGTGATATCCAATGTTTTTCGCAGCCACTTTCGTTTTAGATCGGGGTACATACATTTTTCAATTAACTGGTCTCTTATATACTCATCCTTGTCTTTAAAGTCGCAATATTGACTTTGTTTTCGTAACTTTGTGACAAACTGAGCTGTCGTTTCTTCCCTTTTAAACTCCAAACTTCTGAACTTTTGTCGTTCATAGGCGGTATTTAACTTGGGCACAAAGTATTCTGTCAACTTGTTGACTGCGCGCTCGTAGTCATCTTTGCTTTCCGCGCTCACCACTTGGTCTGATAAAGTTTCGTAAATGTCTTGTACATATGGCCCTGCCTGGTGTAGGAGTCTCGACAGTTTTTGTTTTAAAGAGAGACCAACTTGACCGTCCAGGTAATAATTTAAATTGCGAATCCAATATCGCCATCTTTCCGCACAAGTATGAGGTTCAGTATGCGGGTCGAATTGTGGCCCTGCTGCTTCGAGATGGGCATCCGCCAACGCCGATAGTGCCATGTTTTCCTCGTCGCCAATTGTAGGTCTTCAAATAATACACCCATACAATATTGTAATCCGAATTTAATCAACTAACAACATAAAACATTTTTTCCAGTAATTGACATTACAAGTGTCACAGACCATCTATGCCACAGATAAAACAAACTCTACAGATGCTTTGTTTAACTAAAACATATCGGACAAAATATTTACAAAAATGTCTGTGTGATAATGCTATGTGAGTGGATTTGAGGTAATTTATTACAAAACTATTCAAATAGAGAAATTGAGACAAATACAACAGCATCAGCTTATGTAAATATTATCCAGATAGAAACTCATATATGTATATGTATAGTGTATAACACAAGATTAACAGAAGCTTAGCTTATACAGATATGGAGCATACAATTTTTTGTAACTTTGTTGTAATTGTAACATTTTTGTTGTGTTAATGACTAAGTAGGACAGTAAAGAGACAAAAAATATGTTTTTTTTTAAAGTACTTTGTTGTGAGAGTATACTAATGATACGGCATTGTCGGCATAACGCGTCGGTTAGCGGTGACGGTCAGTTCGGCGCCAGAGAGTCGCCGCGTAAAATACTCAGGTGCATCCGTACCTGCATACGGATTTGATACAGCCTGCTTTAGCGTAGATATTTTACATTTAATTTCACTAGTCCAATTCAAATGGAAATCTGAAACACAATATAATTTTTTTAAGTGATCATTTAAATACAAATAAGACAATAAATTGCTGTTTGAAGAAATGTAAAAAAAAATCTTCAATCATGAAAATCGTGGTTAAAAATACTTTTATTTTACCCATTATGATTGTTAACGTGATACGACTTTAATTATGACGCCAATTTCGAAAGATATCAATATTTAGTTTACAACGTTTTTAAATTTGCTTTATCTAAGGTAATCATTTTTTTTAAATGTCTCCTAAATCTCTAAAATCGAAGTTATATAAAAAATCAACAAAAGAACGACAAATGTTTATTCTCTTAATACTGATAATATTAGTAATTACATCAGTTTTGATGTATACAAAAATACACGCTGTATACAAAAATGTCCTAAGAACCTTTCACGATGCTGCGCGTGAGTCGTGATTTGATTCCCACAGAGCGAGCCGAATGGTGTTTCTTATTCTTTTTAATCGTATTATTGTTTGACGCGAACATGTATAGTTATAAGTTAGACGTGTTAGAAGTATAAAAAAAATATAATTTGTGTTTTAATTGCTTTTGTGAGTTTTCAGTTTTGTAGCGTTTATTGAAGAATGTGCATGATTGTTGCATTTTTAGTCACTTTATGATTACACACTACTAGCGACCACCCTCGCTTCGCTCGGGCTCGTCCCTCGGTTGATTCCCCATATAAACTTTCATCCCCATTTTCACCCCCTTAAGGGATGATTTCCGGGATAAAAAGTATCCTATGTCCTTCCCAGGGTCTCAAACTATCGTCTTACCAAATTTCATCTAAATCCGTTCAGTAGATCCAGAGATTAGCCCCTACAACGTCACAAACTGACCAACTAGCAAATCACAAACTCACAAACTTTACCTCTTTATAATATTAGTATAGATACAGTCACCACAAAACATAAATTACCTACAGGAATTAAATTGTGCTCTTTGTCCTGTATCATAAAACGATATCACTATTCTAATTATGATTAATCACCATGATTATTATCAGGGCCGTCTTTAACCTATTGAAGTTCTTGGACACATGAGAATCACGGGGTCTCTGTGTAGATAAGAGTAGATAAGCAAAATTGAAAAATATTCAACAAATATTTTTATTTCTTTAAAATCACAATATATAAATAGATAATTGTAATATGATTCGATAAAATAACTCTTAACATTCACATGTTAGTGCTTAAAATTCTATGATTATTGTAAACTCTTCTAGTTTTCACATTAGCAAAATTGTCAGTTGTTCAAAGTCTATGTATCTCTTACTCTTAAGAGCACATCACATACTATTGATATTCGCGACAAACTGGTCAATCTTTCTTGAACCATTGTACTTCTTAATTAGCTTACCCTGGATAAGTTTTTCGACTTAATTCGTTTGCTAATTAAATAATTATTTAATGTCGCATTTCGTCCTATTTTACGTATTTTGATAGTTGGCTTATTGAATTTCTTTCAATGTTCAATTATTTATTTACCTTATTAAATTATATAAAACCTATAAAACAAACATAATACTAATTTATACATATTAGGTACTTACATATAATAAAATTCTGAGTCGAATCTGTACATTCAATATTTTTTGTAAAATCTTATTGAAATAAACCTTATTATTGATATAGAGGCCAATTCTATAGTTTTTAGAATTTTGTCTGTCTGTCTATCTGTCTGTCTGGGAACGCATCACCAGAAAACCATTAGACAGATTTTGATGAAATTTGGTATGGATGATAGCGGATTATCTGGGTCAACATAAAGGATAATTTTTACTGCGGGGAAATATATTACCTCTGAGAAATGTATACTAAACATTAAAACAGATGTAGGGATGAACCCGAGTCGCTAGTATTTCTTAAGTTTTAGGCTGGAAGCTTATTGTAAATCGCACTGCAAATCAATTATTTTGTCATTGTAACAGGTACTAATAAAATTATATTTCATCGCATTTTTACAGGCAGTATGGATTGAATATGGAAATCCGAATATATATTTAGTACCTATTAGTGTTAATATTAAGTACATTTACCTTATTTTTTATTTATATTAGTTAAAGATGTAACATTAAAAAGCTAGCTTAGCTTAGCCCTACATAATAAAAATGATAGCAGTACTTTAAGGAGAAAAAAGTTTTATTTAATTAGGGATTAAAATTAATCTCTATTTAACTTACCAACGCGCGCCGAGCCACCAGTTTAACTTTTTTCTGACTCTTTTTTTACGGTTTTATTTTACATTTTGATTCCCGACACTACTAATGTTATACAAAACTATTATACCTACTTACGAGTACAAAAAACTTAAAAAAAACCGACTTCCAGGCTCTAAAATTAAAAAAAATAACTAACGGGTGTTTTCATTTAGAATAGATACCTTATCAGATATTTTCGAAGTCGGTGCCAGCCGATGCAAAGCAAATCTAATATATATCGATTCGTAAAATACCTACATCACAAATGGATGTATAATATTTTTAATTATAATTAGAGTTCATACCTAATCATATTTATCTATTAGATATTGATATCTTATAAATAAATGAAAACCCTTTATATATACATTTTCTTACCTTCTAAGATAATTGTTCGATCTTTGCGCTCAGGTGGCGGTAGAATGCGGGCGTATTGGTATTGTACCTTGTACGTACGTGCAGGTGCTATCCGTGGGAACGCGATATTTGACTAGCACTGACTTTAGATCTGCGACTGTTCGTGAGATATACAAATTAGAGTAGTTATTTCTACAAATTTATAAGAATTGTTTAATATCCAAATTAATAAAATAAAATATTACAAGCAAATATTAGAATAATAGATGAACATATGAGGTACCAATCATTTTAAGAAAGAGAAAAGCTCACAGGCTTGGGAACCATCTACTCCTTTCTCCTTTTTTTTAACGTTGGGAAATGCATTCAGGCACGAAGTGTGGGACTCTCCGGCAAAGCCAGTACTACCCACTAAAACCCAACGGAACCTCACCCGTCTTAATGGGGTGTCGCAGGATTGCTTACGCATTCAACTACGACGCCCCGACGGCAGCTCTGTCGAAGCAGACCACAACAACCTTGGAATTGCTCCACAGTCCACTCTGCTATCAGACAAGTACCAGGAGCAATCCGCATGGTACACCGTCCACCGAAGAGGGCCACCTTCCACCACCCACCGAAGTGGGCCACCTCCCTGTGCGTTTCTTGGCTTCGTGCCCGGCTGGATTGCCGGGCACTACTGAGCCCCCCCACCCCGACAAGGTGAACGCACGTTGGGGGGAAGGGGGGGGGAATCATTATAGGTACGTAGCCATACATATCAACAAAGATATACTTGTACTTAAATAAGTATCTATTAGATAATGCTGTGATCGATTACCTACTTACATACTTGTCATTTCACAGTAACTAATTACATAGCTACTCTTGTTTAGCTGTTTAGCTAATAAAGGCATTTACACGATAGGTACTTAAATAGGGATTTTAAGTATTGTGTAAATGACTTTACTTTTATTTAAATTCTCGGCATATTGTTGGAAGGCTGAGCGTATTTAAGCGTAGAAAACTTGTAAGAAGATATTGATAACTATTGACAACATATTGAACAGATTTTTTGGTAGCCCATTGATAATATATTTTATGCTCTACAAGTCTTATTTAATTTTAATTTGTACATTTTGTTATTATACTGAGTAAATAGGGTAAATTTTAATTTACTCAAGACCTTTTGGGAATATACTTACTATTTACATCACAGGAATGAATTTCGAAAAATGTTATTTATGTTAACCAGTATTTCATTTTGTAATTTTTTAGTTTATTGTTTAGATTTTTATTTTTCTCATTTTCATTATGGTCTGCTTCATATGTGTATTGTTTAATTCGTAGAAACTTCATTGGTTTATGTGTTATCTATTATTATTAATTATTTATGTAATATCGTATCGTATTATAACGCGTTTTCCCGTGGGCATGAGATAATCTCAAGCGGTAAAAAGTAGCCTATGTCACTCTCCAGCCCTCCAACTATCTCCACACAAAAAATCACGTCAATCCGTCTTTCCGTTTCGACGTGAAAGAAGGACAAACAAAAAAACAAACACACTTTCACATTTATAATATTAATTAGTAAATTAGTATGGATTTTGTGTTCACAATCAAAACGCTGGACACTGAACAAGGTGACATCCATATAATTTTTACATTAAAAAATATATATGTGCTTAATGCAAAATGAAAAAGAAATGTTATGAATAGGCATTCCAATAGATGCACACAAACTCAAAATGCACTAGTGTACAATATTGATTCACCGTGACGCAGTATTTATAATCAACGTATGTATATATATTGAAGTTTACATACTTATGAATACTACCTATTCGTTATTAAAACTTCGCAAAAGTGCGCCGTGAACTGGTCCATCCAATGCGATTGTGAATCATTCGACTTTTGTTAACAGTAGATATATACTTGGATACTAGTGTTCGATACTTCATTTCAGTACATAAGTATTGTGCCACCATAGTAAAAAAATAAATTCCGAAGTCATGGCTTCTGGGATGAAAGTTGAAAATGAAATAAAGGCTTCAGCTTTAGATCTCATCGGCAACACCCCTTTGGTTGCGCTTGATAGGCTCTGGCCTGGGCCTGGACGTATTCTTGTAAAGTGTGAGTTCATGAGTCCAAGTGGCTCTGTTAAGTGCCGATCTTCACTTTATATGCTGCAAGAGGCACGTGAAAGTGGAGAATTAAGACCTGGAGCGCCTGTATTGGAAGTAACTTCTGGAAATCAAGGATGTGGTCTTGCAGTAGTATGTGCTGTACTTGGTCATCCTCTCACAGTTGCCATGTCCAAAGGAAACAGTATACAGAGAGCAATACATATGGAAGCCCTTGGTGCAACATGCTTAAGAATTCCTCAAGTTGAAGGCTCTTATGGTAGTGTCACATTAGCGGACGTTATGGCAGCTGAAAATAAAGTTCTAGAAATTGTTGAAGAAACAAATGGTTTTTATGTAAACCAAATTAATAATAAAATGAATGTTGATGCGCATTACTGTACTACTGGGCCTGAAATTTGGAGACAGACTGGTAAACGCATTGATGCCTTTATAACGACAGTTGGTACAGGTGGTACGTTTATAGGTACTTCAAAATTCCTAAAGGAAAAAAATCCTAATATTAAATGTTTCGTCGTTGAGCCCGAAGGATCGGAGCCTATCAAAGGTTGTCCGATTACGAAGCCTTTGCATTTGTTGCAAGGTTCAGGTTATGGTTTCGTTCCTATTTGGTTTAATTTTGATCATCTTGAGGGTACCTTAAGCATAACTGACGAAGAAGCAGTCAAATACAAGAACTTAATAGAAGAAAAAGAAGGGTTGTATGTAGGATATACTAGCGGTGCCAACATTGCTGCGGCTATTAAACTGCTACAATCTGGACTTCTTCCTGAGGACACGTGGGTTGTGACTCTTCTAAATGATACTGGCCTGAAATATAGTTCAGATCCAGAAGAGCTCACATAAAAATATTGGGAAATCTTTTTAACATTATATGTAAATATTGATATACTTGTATAACTTTTATTTAAGGTATTGTTAAACATAATAAATTTAAAAATTTATGAATGTAGTAGAAAAGCTCCGTAGTTCGTCTTATCAAGCAGAATAATTTATTCTCTATTATGAACTCACTCTACCCCAGAATGACATAGGCCGCCTTTTTGCCCTATATATTATATTGGAAAAAAATAGCTAGTACGCGCAGCGCAGGATTTTAAGAAAATAAAATAAATATCATTAGCTTCACAAACTAATAGTCCAAAATATTTTAATTCTAAGGAAATGTAATGTAATGAACTTAGAAAGTTGAATTTATTACATTTGCAAATATTATTCTTATATATTGCATTTATTATCTCGGGACAAATAATCTATTAATTAAATTACCCTAATATAATAATTAGTAAATGAGGATGTGTGTGTTAAATATCTTAAAAGCATGAAGAAGTAACCATGCATCTCCACGCTTTTATGATACGATTTTTTTTCGAGATGAATTTTAGTGAAAATCAACATGGAAAAAGCTAAAGATATAACTAGAAAGTAAATAAAAATTTGTGTTATTAAATTATTGTGCATTACGAGTGCAGAGCTGCGGACAAAAATGGTAAATAATAATAAGTCATAAAGTGAAATAAAAATGTATACAAATATGCCATTTTTATAAATTAATTACTTTATAATTAACAATATAATTAACAGTACAATTAACCGTACATAATTTTTGTTGGGTATTGTAGCTATAATGTAATGTTACAGTATATATAAAATATATAATTAATTTGGTGTCTTTCAAAACAGCAATTGCAGGAATTAGCAACGTTGTAGGTAAGCTATAGTATAGACAACATATTAATGAAAAAATACTCACAACCTAAAGAAAGCCAAAATATGACGATTCGCATATGGACAGATTTACATATAAAATTTAGAATCAAAATATATTTACATATTTGCTCTTACATTATCTTTAGAGTAGAAATTTGCATAATCTGACAAAGGTGATGATGAAATAATGTATGATTGAATACTTCGATAGAATCACAGTTAATACATTTGCACATATAATTTTTATATCATCTACACTTCTTTTATTTTGTTATATGTATGTAATATAAGTATAGTATCTGTAAAATTGTTTTTTTTTGTAAAAAAGAAAATGGAAACCTAAAAAAGTAATACTTGGTTATTCCTTACTAAATATTCTACTAATATTATAAATGCGAAAGCTTGTGAGGATGTAAGAATGTCTTGATGTATAGATATATGGATGTTTGTTCCTCTTTCACGCAAAAACTACTCAATGGATTTTAATGAAACTTTACAATAATATAGCTCATATATGAGAATAACACATAGGCTACCTTTTTACAACTAGGCTTACCACATAGGATTTTTATCCCTTAAAATTGTACGGTTCCTGTGGGATAGATTTGTTCTTGTTTTTCTTCAGTCAAGCGAGGGTGAGCTGCTAGTAATACATATATCAAACTTAATAAGGTATAACAGATAGATCGATCGACATACAGGTGATCCTACCGAGTAGGTAGCTACCTATATATTTTTTGCCTTTTTCGTGTGCGTTCTTAGATACGTTTAAGTCCCGTCAAAATCGATTCTGCCGAAGATTACCCGGAATAAACAGACAGATAGACAAAAATTTTAAAAATTGTGTTTTTCTGATAAGTACCGTATATAATTTCATATGCATTTAGCAGAGAGACAAACAATGTGTTTTTCTTATAAGTAGTTATTGTATATAAATACATACATCGGCATTTAGTAAAAAGCTGTTACTTCGACATTACAAACAGACACTTCAATTTTATTTATCTGTATAGATTATTCAGAATTCATTTCGTCTTTACATCTTAGATTATTAATATGTCGTAATCTAAGCTTTACATATAAATAAAATTTAATCATCTGTCATTTCAGAATAAACCCTTCTATAAATAGGTAGTATTTATATATATATATATATATATATATATATATATATATATATATATATATATATAATATATATATAGATTTAATATTTTATATATAAGTTTATCGTTATAAAGGATAACGTTATAAAGAGTTTACACTATATAATTTATAGATAAAATTTTATGTGTATATTTCAATGAGTCCTTGAATGGTTTGAAAACATTGTAAGACCCGGTAGGTGGCTCTGCTCTCGGTGTGTCACTAAATTTCCATGAAAGACTCCATTTTCTGTGCAATAAATAAATTTAAATTATTAATTAAATTTAATAAAAATCAGTGTTCCGTATGGACTCCAAAACAACTGAAGCAATTTTGATGAAATCAGGATAACTTCAGATTAACTCAGCGGATGATCGTGTTAAGTTTGGTAGCGACCACAAGTTTGGACACGGGCGAAGCCGCGTGTACTGCTAGTTATTTATAAATTACAAGTCATGCATATTTTAAGTTTGTTTAAGTTTTTTTTATAGAATTATTTATATTTTAAGTAGTCAAGAAAAAACTAGAAAAACTAGAAAATTATTATGCAAATCCCCTCTAACTATAAACGATACCTATATAAAATTTAAATTACAAATTATTAATATTTCAGTCGACGGCTTATATCTAACAATGAGTAGGTAATAGGTATATCTTATACTCACCTAAGACCTAGACCTAAGCCTAGACGGCTGAAATAAAACTTAAGTTGGGGTTATTTGTTTATTGATTGTTAGTAAATTGTATAATTTTATTAATAGCATAAACAATCTGATTAGTTATATCTAATATCGCAATTACATAATCGTAGGGTAACTTTCTGATCGAATCGTTAGGTGTAATTACAATCTAACATTTTATAGTACAAATGCACAACTGTTATATTGAAGTGACATTTTGAATTAACACGCCATATTTGGCTCTTCATGGGATACCCCAATTATTCAATATCTGACATTTGGCTCGTTCAGCCTCTTTGCCTTCAATAAATACAACGATGTAAAGCATTGTACTCAATTGTACCCATATTTGTTAACAATGGACCAGCCGCTTATTGACATCTGGTGGGTATCCAAAATTTGCGCTACACTTTTATACGTATTTGAACATTTATTTATATTGAACTCTATATTTATAACTAGAGAACACAATTTCGTTATTTCCTAAAAGTTATTTATAGTTAAGTTTTCAATGAAATTTCGACCATACGGACTATTAAGTGCGATTAGCAATTGTTTCTATTTGTTTTAATCTAAATCCTGGTTTAAAACATTAAAATTATCACTGGTGACATACTGTTTGTGCAACTAAGAACGATTAACACCATTTTATTCTTTTTTCTATCACTATAGCAACAGTAAGACATGACATGATAAATATATTATGAAATATCTTTTTAATCTATGCATTATATTTAACACGCAATAGAGCTTAATGCTTATTACGTAGTAGATGCGAAGTGAGAAGTCTGTGTTTTATCGGACATGACTTGAGAATGATGGCTTAACATTTGAATTCACCGCGAGACGGCGCTAGTGTAGAGTGAGGTCTCTATAAATGTCAAATGAAACTAAATGTTTAGTGTTTGCGAGCTTTTCATCGTGGATTGTACCATTCCTGTTATTGCTTTAAAAGAAGAGCTAAGGAAAAAGTCAAAGTTAAGAAAAAGAATTGAAATAAAAACAGTTCACGTAATTTATGGTAGCCCCCTAACGACTTCTGACTCGTCAAAATTGGTTAAGTCGTTTAGTAATTACAAAGAAAGATAGCATCGGACATACATACAGATATTCATACATACATACTTATGTAAGACATATATACTTATGTAAGACATACATACTTATATAAGACGTACATACGATATATGTATGTATATATCAGTGGCGAAGGGTGAAATTTTAGCAGAGATTAGCCGTTCCAAAATAAAACACAAAAAAACATTGATATACAATTTTTATAAATCAATGTAAAAAAATAAAAAAATGAGAAATGTAATTGTGAAGATATTTTTTTTGTCCATTATGTATTTTTTACATGTAGTAAAATATTTTAGCAAAATACATTTTACACTTACTTAAATATTATTAAAATCTCATAAAATATGAATAGCGCCATCTATGACAAATTACTACGCATCACTTAATATGCGAATGTACGGTTTGATTTAAGACTGCATTATGGTATTTTTCTTTATTAAGTTATTTATTTTATAACCTATACTTTTTTGGATTTAAATATTATTATTTTTGTAAATTTTACAATATTTATTGAAGTATATTTAAGCAATATATTATTTAAATGTAAATACCGCCATCTACTTACATCTCTATGAACTACTTCATCTTTCTTACTGATAAGTGATTTATTATTTATTTCATTTTATTTATCAAGCCAAACTGAACGAAAATCATATACATATAATAAAATTCTAACTGATCAGAATCGGTACATGAATTATTTTTTGGAAAATCTTATTGAAATAGACATTATTATCGATACAGAAGCCGAATCTATAGTTTTTAGAATTTTTGTCTGTCTGTCTGTCTGTTATGAAATAAGTAGATACTCTACAAAAAAAATTTAATGATGTGAAGCGCGAGCTTTATTTATTACTAGCGACTCACCCTCGCTTCGCTCGGGTTCTTCCCTACTTACGTTTTAATGGTATCGCTTTCTCAGAGATGAGTTATTTTCCCGCTGTAAAAAGTATCCTATATGTTGACCCCGATTACCAGCTATCATCATACCAAATTTCATCAAAATCCCTCCAGTGCTTTTTCCGTGATGCGGTAACAGACAGACACAGTACAAATATGTATAATGCAATGAGCCAAATCAACATAATATTATTCTTATAAGATGTTGATTTGTCAGTCGATTGATTAATGCTTCGCGCGTCTTCCGTCGACGACGGTGAGGATACAACGATCAGCCTAGAACAATTATCGACTATTAATATAATGAATTATTAATGCTGTTGCCTTAGCATGTTCGCACCTCGCTGTCGTCTATGTAATACGAAACAAAGAACTTAGATATCTATACGAGCAGGGCCGAAATATAACCATGTCGGGGGGCCCCAGACATGGTTATATTTCGGCCTGGTTAGGCAACGCAATTCTCGGGGCCCCTTCACCTTTTTCTAACTTATTGAAATACATTTCTTCTATCACAATGGAATGGTATATGTAATTACGCTGTTATGTAGATTTCATAGAAATTTTCAAACATTTTCAAAAAAAATTCTCGATAGCCGATACGGAGACCCTAGGCTGTCGCCTAAACTGCCTTATGGATAATCCGGCCCTGTGTATATGTATGAATGACTAGTATAGAACTCATTTGCATGACGTTATGATAAGCAAAATTTTTAATGAAGTATCAAAAGTCTTAAAGGAGCTCGTACTTAACTATTTAGGTGGGATGAATTGTTTTGTCATTTTCATTTACTAATTTAGGCATTTTATATTATTTCAATCTATAGCCGTTACGGCATTTAGATAATATGATGTTGATAATCAGTGCCGGATACAGGATTTTCTTTTTGGAAGGGCCTTAACCTAATGTAGGGAAAAACGAAACTCTAGAAAAATGTGGTCATGGTCGCAAAAAAATATTCTATGTTGGTGGACGGATTTTTTTATTCGTACCAGAATGAAAGCAAATCAATCAATAAATAATCCATATCCGTCCACTTCTGAACGTATCCTTCTCACAGGTTACGTCACTTTTTGCTATTCTGGGCACTACCCATCCAGCCAGAACCAGCAGGCCTGTCATGTCGTTTGGCCATCTTTTCGTAGGGTGTCCCTGCGAAACTTGTCTAAACGCTATCTCTACTCTAAACCTCGTCTGCACCGACGGTTGTCGAATTTGCGGTAGATATGACCAGTCCACTGTCATTTCAGCGAGCTAATTCCTTGGCATTTATCGATTGCTTTCTATCTTTTGGTGAATATGCTCGTTAAGGATCATATCTCGTAAGGAGATCCTGAGAATTGAATCCTTATATTGGACTGCTTTTTAAAATTGTAACAATTTCAAGGGCTTAATCTCCTTCGTTGCTGAGCTTAGGTTTGATGTTGCGCAACTTTGGGAACTACTTCAGGATTGGAATTCCACCGATTGTATGTATATTATTGTATTGTACTTGCATATTCCCTATTGTTATGACACAAGCTATTTATAGCATTTATACCTGTTTAATCGTTAGTACATGGAGATCTATTTATAAAAAGGTTAAATAATGCATTTAATATGTAATTGGTTAATTATTCACATATTATTGTTGGACAATCTGAGTACCTATCAAAAGATAAAGTTTCAATATAATATTTGTACTACCTAGTAATGTTTTGCATCTTTGTTTATGCGTATTTTTTTTAATTATTCCATTAATTTAAAACGGAAATATATTTTTGGATTTTTTCGCGGATTTATTTTGATTTGTGGTTCCCGATGTTTCGAATGCGTGTTGTGAAAAAATCCGAAAAGATAGTTTTATTTAAAACGTCAAATATTCGCGTAAATCTAAGAAAGTAGGTATTATTTCATTAATTGTTTTGAAAATATGGCCATAATATTTTAACTTCGAAGTGCAGGTTCATTTAAGCAAAAGCATTTTTTTTTTATAAAGCTACATTTTATTTGTATCGACAAAACGGATCTAAAGATTACTTAAATTACTCGCTTTTTTTATTATTACCTGAATAGAAGTACAAATATGAGTAAAACCACAAGTAATACATATGTATGATATTATGCAGTAAAGAAAGTGTAAAGTAACATTATTAATTAGATAATACTTATGTAAATATCTTTTGGAATTCACGTATATATATCTAACGATAGGATATAGTGTATCTATCTAATTTTCTTTATCGGTTTACGGCCGGCCTTCAAAAATAACCATCAGCAGTATAAAGAGCCTAACACAGCTACGTATCGTCTCATTATAGGCCGCGACATTATTAATATAACTAGCTTCTTACAATCGCAGCTATGGCCAACGTTAACGATACTGGAAAGAAAAATGGAATATTGGATTCTGCATTGGATTTGATCGGGAACACTCCAATCGTTGCACTCGATAGGCTCTGGCCGGGTCCAGGTCGTATTCTTGCAAAATGCGAATTTATGAATCCAGGGGGTTCCATTAAGTGCCCTTCTTCACTTCACATGATACAAAAGGCTCGTGAAAGTGGAGAACTGAAACCCGGTGCACCTGTAGTGGAAGTTACTTCTGGAAACCAAGGTTGTGGACTGGCTGTAGTGTGCGCAGTACTTGGGCATCCTTTAACACTTACTATGTCTAGCGGCAACAGTGCACAAAGAGCTTCAATGATGGAAGGCCTGGGTGCTAAGTGTATCAAAGTTCCACAAGTGGAAGGTACGTATGGTAACGTGACTGTAGCAGATGTCAAGGAAGCTGAAAAAGAAGCATTAAAATTAGTTGAAAAAACAGGTGCATTTTATGTGAATCAGTTCTATAATCAATTGAATGCTGACTCACATTATCATATTACTGGCCCTGAAATTTGGCGGCAGACAGGTCAGCACGTCGACGCCTTCATAGCGACAGTTGGCACTGCTGGAACATTCGCTGGAACTTCAAGATTCTTGAAAGAAAAGAATCCTAATATTAAATGTTTTGTAGCAGAGCCATCTGGGTCAGAAGCAATCAAAGGTTGTCCGATTACCAAACCTCTACATTTATTGCAAGGGTCGGGATATGGTTGTGTACCGAATTTGTTTAAATTTGATACTCTCGATGGTACTCTCAGCATTACTGATGAAGAAGCATTAAAGTATAAAAAGCTAATTGGGGAAAAAGAGGGGTTATACGTGGGATATACAAGTGGCGCTAATATCGCTGCAGCTGTAAAGTTGCTGGAGTCTGGTAAACTTCCAAAGGATGCTTGGGTTGTCACTTTGCTCTGTGATTCTGGCCTCAAATACAATCCGGAGCCAGAAATACAAGCGTAATACTTCAATTATAACTAAAAATATATGTATTCAATGTATACTAAGATAGTATTTAGAGTAAATATAAATAATATTTTACCTAATTTTAACTGATTTTGATTTTTAACCGACTTCCAAAAAGGAGGAGGTTCTCAATTCTTCGAAATCTTTTTAACCTTTTCGAAAGTACCTACCTATAGTGATTCCTTATCATATTTGCTTTAGGTAATTTTACCTTTTATTGATAAAATACAAAGCAAGTATAATAGAGTCTTAATAATCTTAATTATTATTATGGACAGTTAAAAATTTTTGTATGAAGTGACTTGGCTCGGGTGCGTCCCTCGGTACGTTTTATATAGTTACTAGCATTGCCCGCGGCTCCGCCCGCGTTCAGATGACTAAAAAGTAAAAACCAAATTCTTAGGTCTTACATAGTATTAGTATACTGTTACATTGCAGTTTTTTGTATTTTTTCTAAGAAATGAGATATTTTCCCGGGGTAAAGAGTATCCTATATGTTGACCCGGATAACCAGCTATCATCATACCAAATTTCATTAAAATCTATCCAGTGGTTTCCTCGTGATGCGGTAACAGACAGACAGAGAGACAAAAATTCTTAAAACCATAGATTCGGCCTCTGTATCGATAATAATGTGTATTTCAATTAGACTTTCCAAAAAATATTTAATGTACAGATTCGAATTAGTTACAATTTTATTATATGTATAGATTGTGAGCGTAACTTAGGAGATGACAAATGCTATCGCGGACATTCTGTAGGTCTTTCTTAAATCTCTAATTTTCTATTACATATTTTAAATATTATCTTAAGTTTTAGCCAGCGTTAGCCTTGTAACTGACGAAAGATTTTTTTGACAAAACACCATCTAGGCTCAGCCATTTTGTACAAAATAGTTATAAAATACATATATACTTATACATGAACTTTCCTCGCTTATCGCTCTTTTTAAGAAGCTTTTATTAGCCTCATCTGTCTATGTATGTAACGGAATCTTTGAACGCGATTTTCACCTACTTCGAAGCTTCAGATTTAAATGAAACTTTGCACATTTATCAAGGACCAAGGAGGATAATAATTTTGAAAACTAAAAAAACACGCTTTTATAGCAGATCACACTAAAAAATGGAAAATAAATTATACTTTAAACAGCTAAATAACACGCTTTAATGATGAAGCGAACTAAAAAGTAAAAAATATTTTTTTTGTATAAGATTAATGTAACTAACGAGAAAATTAATGTCATTGTGAAAAAAGCGTGTGTTTTCACAATATCATTAATTTTGTTATGTTCCAATAAATTTATCATGAAATAAGAGATTTTACCGAATTTAGTTGTTATTGTTGCTGGTACCAATAGTTTTTGTGTATTAAATCATTCAAATTTTCTAGGCCTTTATAGTGTTTTGCCATGGGAATAAGGGTTTTTCTATAGTAAAACATATCCTAAATGTTGAACCGAGTAATAAGTTATCACTACACAAAATCTATAATAAAGAGTTTGTGAGCCTGTGAGTTTGTGAGGTTGTAGAGGATAATATCTGGATCTACTGAACCGATTTAGATGAAATTTTGTAAGAAGATAGTTTGAGACCCTGGGAAGGACGTAGGATACTTTTTATCTCGGAAATCATCTCTTAAGGAGGTGAAAATGAGGTTGAAAGTTTGTATGGAGAATCAACCTAGGGACAAACTCAAGCGAAGCGAGGGTAGTCGCTAGTTTATTTATATTCTGTTCAGTACTTTGTGTGAAATGAAGGCAGATAAAAAGACAAAAAGGCACAAATTTCTATCTATATTCCACATGTAATATGCAACAGTTATACATAGTTTTAAAAAATATTTCATGTATAGATTGGATTTTGTTATTTTATTATACATATATACCGGATATTTTAAATCATTTAGCTGTAATTAATTGATCATTCATTAAAGGTAGAAAGCGCCAAATACTAACGACTTTAGAAACTGTAATTTAGTATCATTGATTTCACAACAGCCTATTATATATATGTCCATGTAGAATTGGCAAAAACGCTGATCTATCCTGCGGTTGCAGCTGTTGCCAATTATTAAAAAATCTCCGCTTGTTATGTGGGCGTTTACAATTTTTACGATCGAATGCCGTTTAGCATTTTAAGTGAACGATTCTAATTCTTTCGAAATAGTTCTCATTTCGCTCTAGGCGGTGCAAAACATCAAATGATTGGTTTATTTGTTCCGCTAATTATTGAGAACGGTTTAATTTGGATGAACCGGATGGACCTTCTTGGAAATACGTTGTTGGCTCGATTAGTATCAATTTTACTGACACCATAGAGTCATTAAACAAAATAAACAACACGTTTAAATATGCTTTGTTTTAGTATTGTTTTGGATAAATTATGCATCAAGGAGAAGGAGTTTTCATGAGATTTATCATACTAGTGATGTGAGAGAGTTTAAACTCATTAAGCACAAAGCCATTTATTATTTATTCTGCCTGTACATATACATATTTTAAAACAGGCGTTAGAATTTATTATAAGTACAATGCGAATAGTATCGACCTTTCGTCATGTTGTATCGTAAATGAAGTGAAAATTTTAGTTTCGACCGGTCGAATTTGTTGCGGTGTTCCTAAACTATTTATAAATCCAAATTGAATGTAATAGAATTCAATTATTGATTACAGCTCCAGTATTATTTTCTGGATAGACAATTACGTTAATGGGTTTTTTCCGAAGATCTTTATTTGTATTTGCGATCGTGCCCCGCTGGCGTATTAGGGTGTTAGTGGTACCCACTAATATCTAATCCTAATAAAGGCAAGATATCATATCTGTATAAATGTAAGTGATATTAGTTTTATATTACCTTTAATAAGATTATGAAGATATAACGTTACAAAGTATTTTAACATTTATATTTTAGTTTAATATATAGCCTATAATAGTAATAAATATATGATCTGTGATATAGCTATAGCTTAAGGTTTCTTTTAGGTTTTCGTACCTCAAAAAGTAAAAGACTATCGACAAAAAAAACCGAAAACAAAGACGTATCTATTGAAGTACTTTCCACTTAATCTAATGGATTTAAAAATAGAAATTTGGTAGGTACGTACATAAAGAAAATTAGATGACATGAATTTTGTAGTAAAACTAAAGTAGCAGCAGAATATAGTCCGAACACTCGCATCTGGGAGTTAGTCTAGGAGACAATATTTGACTACACATTCAAGGCCAAATTACTTAACTTCTCAAGTGATAAGATGATGTACATAGGTACCTACTATCCATTAAAAATATTTTCGAATCAATTAATAAGACGACACGTTTGGCTCCGTGTGTAGTGACCCTACTTGCTGTGCCAGCGGTCGCGGGTTCGAGTCTCGCTGGGGGCATTCATTTGTGTGATGAGCATGAATGTTTGTACTCCAGTCATGGGTGTTTATTTATATTAATAATATGTATGTATTTAAAGTTATATATGTGTGGTGTATCAACTATCTGGTATCCATAGCACAAGCCTCGAGGCTTACCATGGAACTAGATGGTGCTGTGTGTTAATGTCCAAACATAAAAAAAATTAAATAAAGATTAACTTTGAAAAAATCATTAATACGCATGCAAACTATTTTTTAAAAATATTCTACTCGTGTCAACAAGTTTAAAAATAATATTATTCCAATATAATATCTTTAAAATATCGATTTTATGGCTGAGATAAGGTCTTAACTCTTATCTTTATACTTACATATTTGTAGAGTTAATTAGATACGTAGTTCTTTTTACTATAATGTTTAGCCCGTTTCATTTTTTATAATTTCAATTGAATCCATTTTTCTTCTTCTTAACAAGCAATGTCGTTGCATTTTCAATAAAAAAATGCTTTGATTAAATTTTAATTAAAAAATGTAACTACTAACACAAAATGCTTGAATTTAAGCAACTTATTAAATTTAAAAATGTTACTACGATATGTTATTAGTCTAATGGCCGATTTCACCAACGTCACCTAAGTTTAAGGGATCCCCTAAGCATGGTTAGGGGGCTGTTAGGGGACAGTTTCTGTTTCACTGACAGTTAGGGGTCACCTAAATGTTAAAATGCCCCCTAAATATAGATACTAGAAATACGGGCTCCGACGATGGTACAACGAAATTTTATTCAGGGGCTAGTTTAGAGGAACTTTTAAGCTAGGGATCCTATACGTAGGTGGTTAAGTTATGTTGGTGAAATCGGGCATAAGTGTTTATAATACTCAATCGAATCGACAAATTAACAAAATCATATTTAAAGGCTATTAATCCGCCAACGACACACACACCGGTGTGTCAGTTAACAATTAATTTCTTAGAAATAGATAAAGCGTGTTTTATTAAAATTTGTAATACCTAACATTGGTACTCAAAGTGAATATGCATCTTACAAGACGTGAGCAACAAAATATTCATAACGTGTAAATTAAGTAACCACATGAATAGAAAACCAGTTATTAAAATTACTACCAAATATAAGAATTTTTATAGTGGCGCCAACACGATTTAATTGCTCGCTCGAGTAGCAACAAGTCCGATAGTTTTTATGATTGCAATATTTTTTATACAATATTAGAAATTCAAATGAATCTTGATGAACTGTGAACATATATCATTGAGAAGCGCAGCAAAACGAGAAAAATAAGCAAGTAGGTATTTTATATATCACTGCGTTGAAATGTTTCGAGTAGATAAGTCTTATATAGGTAGGTACTCGTACATATAAAAATATATTTATAATGTTATTTATAAATTTATCATTACCTAAACTGTATCTGTACTTATAATTTATAAATATCATTGAAGTATCTGTCTATGATTAAAAATAACAAATATTTACATGATACTAAAACCTAATCAATTTTATTTATTCCTGTGGACGACTGAACAGATTTTATTGAGATCAAGATCATTCGAGAAAAATCGGTGAAGTGGACAATGGCCAATTTAATAAAGAATCAATAAAATCTTT